GATGTCGCAGAGATGTTTTTTCTTCAGCGGTGACTAATCGCGGCGCGGGGTGTGACGATCCCCCCAGTGGCAACCCTGGTCCTGCATCAGGTGACATTATGGGTATCAAACCCTAACCACCACACATAAACTGTATGCATTGGTACACCAGTTCATTCAATGCACCAGCCCATTCATTCCCTGTACTGGCCCAGTCTGCGTGCTGGTCTATAATCTACTAGCCTATCTCATGTGCTGGCTCATATTGTACTGGCCTTATTGTCTGTACTAGCCTATTTCCTGTGCTAGCTCATGGTGGTGGGCTGGCTCATTACCCGTACCAGCTTTATTGCTGAGACAGCCTCCGCCCTGTCGACGCCTTGAGGAACGGGCCTGTGAGTCAAAATATCAATGTTCGTAGGTAGCCTTGTACAAGTTTTGGTGCAATGAAACCTGTTGCAGAGGAGGTGGTCAGTGGTATTTTGTAGCCACTGAGGGGATGAAGCTCATCATTGCTCAACAACTGTTTCGTCCACAACAGTGCCTGCGGCTTTGCGCTCGGGCTTCTACAGATGGCATAGTTTCTTCACAACCTTGACTCACTAGCGTTGACGAATGTGTAGCTCGAAAAGAATCGACAGTCTTGGATGGTAGTCGGCGAGTGTTGAACAAGAAGAAACAAGGCCATTCGCCTAAGCTGCTGTCAAAATGATAGCCTCCTTCTTGGCAATAACTGTCAATTCTCTTGGCCTTGGACAACGACTCATCGAGGCCGAGGCTGCCTCTGCTTGACTTGCTCCGATGATCGCAAGGCGACGCCATGGACCTTGAAGACGTGGCAAACGCATCCAGACATTCAAGTCTGGGATTCCGACACTTGGCATGCTCGCGCCTGATCAAATACTCGCGATTGAAACAATCGTTCATCACGATTGGCCGACAACACGTGAAGGAACGCTCCGCCAGCGATGGGCGCTCGTCGCCAACGCAGTCTGGGCATTGTGTGCTGTGCACGAGAAGAGGAAGCTTTGACTCTTGATCGCGTTTAACAGTCTCTATACCATCCGCAGCATTCGAGGCACCTCTTCAGGCGAATCTGGCGGTCCATCTCTTTTCGTGTCCAGAGTCAAAACTCTGCTGACCCATATCGTCGTTGAGCTCAGGATAGAGCATAGCCTCGATTCCCGAGAGCGTTGTCCCCCAATGTCGGCGGCAAACGGGGATTTTGAGCATGGATTTCTGCCAACGAAGCGGCGTGCTTTGCTGGAATCTCGGCGGTTTCCTTATCGAATATCATTGTTTCATCCATTGAGCTCGGCGGATCGAATGCCTTGTCGTGTAGGGCGAGCGAGAGAGTTGTCGAAACGGCGCAGAAGATGAGCTTCTCCGTGGGTGAAAAATAGAACATGGTCCTGTAGTGGAGGCGGTTAGTTGACAGACTTGGAATTGAGGCGAGCAAGACAACGTATGCCCTAGGTTTGTTGTCTGCTCCCTTGTGGTAGAATGGCTATGGCCGGGATGCAACGTCTAGTGACAGAGTGCCGACACAATTATAATTTAGATTTCCTTATATAGCCTTGGGTCGCCTGCAGCCAACAGTCTCCTGACTCCTGAGACAGAAGGCTTTCGAGCTGTTTTGTTGGTGTTCTTCACCATTGTTGGTTGGTAGAAGGTGGGGGCTCGTAAAGCTGCTCGACGGATCCATCTTTCGGCTTCTCCCGTTCGCCATCCACAAGCTCAGCTGCAGGCTGCACTAATCGTTCGCCAGAAAGAATGACTCGCATTATAAGCAATATTAAAGGTTAAGATAACAAGTAAATTATCAACGTTCAGACCCAGCTTGCCGTCAATATCGGGTGGGCAATGGCTAAAACAAGGAATCAGAAAATGCCTGTAATACTATAGAATGTTAGTTAACTGTAGGATCACAAGCTTCGTCGCACCCTATATACCCCTTGGCATCATTCCGATCTGTACACTGCGCATCAATAGTTGTCCACAGTTGTTGGAATTGCCGAATGTACCCTTCGCCAGTGCCCTGTAGTTCAATCTTCGAGTTTTTCTAAATGTAAAGGAGGAAATCCTGCTTTATATGTCGCTACAGATTCTCAACTGTCTCCTCCCGGTCCCCAACCTGTAGGTCTTTGCAGTATCTACCGAGTCACTGTGGAGTACTCCGTAGACATATTAACATTAGCCTTGCAAGAGAATGCCAAGCTATTGGACAACTTTGCCCACCTTTTCCATTTTCTCAAGATCCCGCTGCCATTGATCTCTGTTTCGTGCGAGTATGTCGGTTTAATGAAGCCGACGTTGCCCCACTGTTCTCTGCGAGCTGCATGCTGCTCAGCCGAGAGCTTCGGTTGCTGCTTCGCAGCTCGATTTTCTGCAAGTACTCCGTCACCGTAGTCACGTCTTGTCGCCGTAATTTGGGGCTGCGTTGTCTTGGACCGCCAGCCAGTCCTGTAGCCTCAACTGGCATGGGCAAGTGCTTACTCGGTAGAATGGCTGTTGTCGACAACAAAGTTCCTCTGGACGTTTCATCATGCCATTGGTTGTTCTAGGAACGGTATCCTTGCCTTGTGGCAAAAGCCGTTTTCCAGTAATCGGCGTCTCCCTGCGGCACGCCTGATATTATCCGTCATCGTCAGACACCCATCATTCCGGCTCGGGCCAGGGCAATTGGCAACCACGCGTCAAAGTTCAGTGAAAGCGGCGCACTGGGGGTATCGTGACCGGGTGCGCCGTACGTATACGACACGTGCACAGATCGGCAAAGGTCAATTCTCGCCGCCCAAAACAGGAGATTAGGGGGACGGTGAGCTCCCTAGCCGGCCAGCTGCAGTTTGATCAATTAATCAAACCATGAGTACGTAGTACCATCAAAATGACTGGCATCCAGCCGGTAGTGGTCCATTGTTCTCCCGACGTTAACGATGCCTTGTCTTCCAACCGCTCTTGTCGGGCGCCAGTGGCTGCCTGGTTGCTGCGAGTATGTGAGAGGCCAAGCTTCGTCAAGCAGCATGTCCGGCGCGCAGCAGGGATTGGGCACGGCGTGCAGAGGGACTCGGCGGGTCCAAAACGGGCGAATCCATCTGACAGGTCAGATGGGACCATGGATGGGCGGCGAGCGGCGACGGTGCGGTTTCAAGACGACGGCCGCAACTCAACGAGCGGACATGTGGAACCGAGGTTGCGCCATGGTGGTTCGGCCTTGAGGTTCAACAGCGATGATCTAGCATGCTGGTAGGGCGCGCTAACGTCAGTACATGAGCGGCCTCACCCATGACCCGTCATGATGTACGTTCTACGGAGTACTCCGTACTATTTTTCTGGTGGGGAAATGGAAAGAAAGAAATGGAGTGGAGATGTGAGCACCTGGCCGGTGGGGTTGAGGCGCCAGGCATCCTATTCCTTCGAACTCGTTAAGGTCCACCTTTGGTGCCAAGCAAGGGTCTGGCCAATACGAAAATGGTTTTGAAAGGTACAAAGCCCTACTAAGAAATAGTGTAATAATAAAGGTTGCAACAATGTCCCTGTTTACAATCGCAGCCGAAAAAAAATGTGCCCGCTACGTGTCACGGGTGTGATGTCACCTGGTGTGTGGGGTAACTTTGTACATGCGACATGTAACGGAGGTACGTACAGAGTACAATGCAATATCAAACACGGTACTCCGTACTGCGCACCGCGTGAGACTGGGGCGGGGCGGGGCAAAGGATGAATCAATGTCAGACAACTCAAAAGAGAAGACAAGAATGCGCGTGCCATGCGGCGACGATTGTCTGTACCCACGTAGGGTTGGGGCTTTGATTGTTTTACGGAGTAGTACTACTTGACTGCGTTTTTATTTTTACTTTTTATTTTTATTTCATTTTTGTCCATGCTCAATGACTGCCAGGTACCCACCCCATCCCACCCCCTTGGAGCTGGCAACCTTGGACCCGCCTGAGGGACAGGAGGGAACCCCTTGATAGACGAGTCGTTGCAGTCGACTAACAGCGGAGAGCAGAGATGACAGCAAAAAAAAAAAATAAATAAAAATACCGAGACTTGGTGGCATTGCATGTTAGGGACCTTAGGCGAGCCGTTTATTTTTGTCAGATACATGTATACATTTTTGCCATCTTTATTTTGAGACGGTACGGAGTACAGCAGTTGAAAAAAAGAAAGCAAAAAAAGGGGGGAGAGGGAAAATAGTAAGAAAAAACCTCCGAAAATAACACAATGCCCTCGCGTGCTGCGTATCCAGAAGCAGCCTAGCCCGGTGTCAATCCCTGCGACTGGCTTTCTAAAGATGGCCTACGTATCTGTACTTTGGCTTCTTTTATCTTGACGCCAACACGCCGACGTCAGCATCACACGCAGCAACCAAGCATCGAGTCCAGCATCAGGCTAGCATTTCAAGCCACTTCGCCCCGGCCTTGGATGGTGCATGTGCTTGCTTGCTTGCTTGCCTCCAGTCATCAGTGCCCGTCCTCTCGGCCGCCCATCGTCTCGTCGGAGTCATCTATCCAACCATCGACGCACCCAGCCATCCCAGCCGTCCATCCGTCCATCCGTCCATCCGTCCGTCCATCCATTCATCGTCGCCCCGTTTCTCACTCGCATCCTCGCTTGCTTCCATCTTTCCTCTCTGCAGTCGGGCCCCAGACCATTGGCGAGTAACTACTCGACGGGTGGTGTCTTGACCGCGTCCGCCATCGAACCCACCTGCTCGCCGACGGCTCTTGCTCTCCCTTGACTCTTCTTTTAGTCTTGTTTTCCTTCTTCTCATCTCTTCTGCCTCTGTTTTAATCTTTTTCTGCTGCTGCTGACCCGTCGGCTCGCCCTCGCCGCTAGCATCGCACATACAAACGTTGCCCAACGTACAACGCCAACGCCAACGCCAACGCCAAACGCCAAACGCCAAACGCCAAACGCAGCCGCATTCCGTGCCTCGTCCAACCGTCGAAGCCAGACCCGAGGTCCCTCGCCGACTGTGGCCCGACTGTCTCGATGCTGACCTTCCGCCGCCCGTGATGTATCCTCCCCTGGGCTGCTTCCTGTTCGCCGTCTTCTTCGTGTCCGTCACCAGCACCAAGTTTCTGCGCCTCTCCCTCAACGCACACGCCTTCCCGACCGGCGTCTTCGTCTTTTGCCTGCCGACATTCGTCGTCCCGGACACTGTCTTGATTACATGCGTTTGGCTTCTGCTGCGTCCAAGGAACGGCTTGTCTGCTTTGCTTGGTCTCGGCGTGGCCTGCTTCATCTGGTAAGTTGGCGCGCGAGCCGTCGCCTCGTTCCTCTCCCACCCGCACGGGAAGAACGCCACCACCATCACCACCACCACCACCACCAACCCGTCTGACCCTGTGTGCTGTGTGCTGACGGGTGCCCCCGCGCCTCCTCCAGTCTCGTTAGCCTTGGCGCCGCCTCATCTCAGTTGGGCTTCTTCTACCAAACCGGCGGCGAGATTGACTGGGGAGACGCCACGTCGTTTGCCCTGAGTGAGGACGGCCGAAAGGTCTTGCTGAGCGAGGGCAAGACGCCGCTCGTCTTTGCCTGCATCATATTCGCCGTCTCCTGGCTTGTCAAGTTCCGACTGTACAAATTCGCGAGTTCAATCCTGGCTGCTGGCGAAATTCACGCGCGATCAGGTTTGTTCCGCCCAATGCTGCTGTTTGCTGCCGTTCGGAAGAAGAGAAGAGGAGACCTCAATAACACGTGTGTGCGTACTGCCAGCTACTCGATGGGTCGCATCTAAAATCGGAGGAGTCTCAACACATGCAAAGGCAGAAACAGAGTCCTCTCTCCTGCCCACGCATGAGTGCGACTCCGACTCGGATTTTTCTGATTTCAACAGCGATGGCCCGCCCAGCCGCTGCACTCACCGGCGTCTTGCCGAGACAGATTCCGCGTCCGCTCGTTCCGTCTGCCGCCCCCGTTTCGTCGTACCATGGAGCTTTGGAATTGTGGCTGTGCTGGGATTCCTCTGCATCCTGACCCTCTTCGATCCCGAGCTCCCGTACAGCCGCATGTTTACGACCTTGCCCCTGCCGCTCTTGGCCGTTTTCGCTCCAAAATCCGTCGAGTGTACATCGACCTCGTGGCCACTGCCCGACCTCATCGACAGCGCCAATTGGGAGTCTCCTCGAGGCGACTTTAAGGGTTGGGCGCCGGGCACAGCAAATGACATCATACAAAAGTACCGGGACAGAAGACCCGACTGGGTGCCGCCAGAGCTGCCGCCGGGGTTTGCTCGCTGGAGCCCGGCGGCCAAGACGGGTCGTCTCGGCGAGCTTGTCGAGAACGCGACGAGCCACGGCGGCGGCGGCGGCAGCTGTCCCGATCCGCTCGCGCTGGACCGGTACTACAATCCCGCCAACGATCCCATGAAGATTAGCAACCTGGACAAACCCGTGCTGGAGCCGCTGGAAGAGGCGTTCCGGAGCGGCTCGGTCAGGATCAAGCACATTGCCATCATTCTGATGGAAAGCATGCGGGAGGAGCTGTTCCCTCTACAGCAGGGCTCCCGCTTCCACGACCTCATCATGGAGTCCCACGACGAGCTCGACCACGACAGCGTCAACGAACTGCTGTCACACATGTCCCCCAACACGGAGCGCATCACGGGCAAGTCTGGGAACTGGAGGAGCACAAACGGCACGGCGTTTGGCCGCACGCGCCCGGAGTGGGATGACAAGACGAGGGACGGCTTCGGCGGCGTCAACGTCGTCGGCGGCCTCACGACCAGCAGCGTGTCGACCAAGAGCCTGGCCGCCGTCCACTGCGGCGCCTGGCCCATGCCCGTCGACATGTTTCAAGAGGCCGAGACGGAAAGCTACCAGCCGTGCCTGCCCGAGATCCTCGAGCTCTTCAACAGGATGAAGAACAAGACGGCCTCGGACCACTATCACGAGCAGCAGTGGTACCCGGCCTTCTTCCAGGCCGTGACGGACGGCTACGACCGGCAGGACAGGTTTGACTCCAAGATTGGCTTCAAACACATCGTCAACAAGAACCGCATCAAGGCGGACAGCTGGACGAAGCCCGAGCTGGAGGAGATCAACTACTTTGGGTTCCCGGAAACCGCGCTCAAGACGTACATGACCGACTACATCACCAACGCGACGGCAAACAACCAGCGCATGCTGCTGTCGCACTTTACCAGCACCACGCACCACCCCTGGGCGGTGCCCAAGGGGTTCAACTCGAGCGAGTACATGGGCTCCGCACACGGCCTGTTGCAGACGCACAAGGACCTCAACAGCTACCTCAACACGGTCCGCTTCAACGACGCGTGGATCGGCCAGCTCATGCAGATCCTCGACGACCAGGGCATCTCGGACGAGACGCTGGTCATCTTTGTCGGTGACCATGGCCAGGCCTTCAAGGAGGATGTCAGCAAGACGGGCACGTACGAGAACAGCCACATCAGCAACTTCCGGGTGCCAATCACCTTTCGACACCCCCGACTGCCGCGGGTGCAACACCGCGTCAACGCCACGTCCCTCAGCATTCTGCCCACCATACTCGACCTCCTGGTGAAGACGGGATCCCTGAACGAAAAGGACGCGGCTGCCGCGGCAGACTTGGTGCAGGATTACGAGGGCCAATCTTTGATTCGCCCCTTTGAGACGACACGCAAGGGGCGGCGGGCGTGGAATTACGGTCTCGTCAACCCGGGCGGCCGAATGCTCACAATCACGTCCTCGGATACTCCCTGGAGGCTGGTGCTGCCCCTGGACAAGAAGACGGAATATGTCTTCTCGGACCTAGGGCGAGACCCCATGGAACTGAAGCGTGTTTTGGAGTGGTCCATCAAGCGTCTGGCGTCGACCGTTGGGAGGAAATACGGTCAAGACGCTGCCCAGTGGCTCATTGAAGCAGAAAAAGTTGGTCTTTGGTGGGCTGCAGAGCGAAAGCGACTTTGGAATTACGACCCTTCTTCATCATAGACCAGCGGGCGTTGATTTTTTTTTTTTTCCTTTTGGAATTTCACTCGGTGAGGGCCTTTGGCTGGAGCATCGGAACAGGGGTTGGGACGGACACTTTTTTTTTTCTTTTTCCAGGTTTCGTTGGGAACGGTCCCGTTTCCAGACGGCCACAGACAGGTTCTTGTATAATTAGCATAATGACGGCAGACCAGGGGGCCAAGAGCATTTTTACCGGGGGACAGCACGGACGTGTCACAATGTAAATATAATTACGGAGTAAGTAAAGGACACTTGGATAGGATGAGGCCGCTGCAGGTGTTTGATGTCATTTGTCTGGAAACGGTGGAATTCCCGGCCACGTTGGGCACTGCCCCATCTCAGGATAGCTGGATCACAGAGTAAGTTCGGTTGTTTCTTGACCACGAAAGACGCGCCATCCGCTGAAGATTCAGATCCACCCAGTCTCAGACATGCGGCGCCGTTTCATGGTCGGTTCTACATTCGTGGCATGGCTTTACGAAAGGGGTCTGACTTGTTGGTCGTCGTTTTCGTGGCTCGGCTTCGGCAAACAACCCAAGCCTCAGCCAGCTGGTGTGCCCATTGCGCAAGACCTCGACACTCAGCACTTGCGTGGATGGTGTTGGCAACGACGGCAAGTTAACGCTTGGCAAGCACATGTTTCTCATCTCGTCCCGTACGCAGTCGAGGTTGAGACTCGAGTGATGGTTGACCGCAACGTTGGGTTGGCCCGATGAGGCAATAACAACCAACTCCTGTCACGTCGGCCCCTGGGCACTGCGATGCCAAGCTGTGATGATTCGTATGTATTGGCTTGGGAAAACTGCTGCAGCCGTCCCGTCTATGCACGTCCGGCACTCCGTACAGAGTACTCCGGAGTACAGGGCTGGGCAACATGCGGAAAATTGCTGTCTCTCGGGGAAGCGTGAAGGGCGAGCCCGGACCAACTGCAGCCCCCAAAGACGCCGCCCTATCTGACAACTCACTCTCGGTCAGGGTTCCAAAGGAAAAGAGGGGCTGGGAATAGCAGCTTGCGCCTCGCGCTGTGCTCAGGACCAACCTACGGAGTAGCAGCTGTGCGTTCGCAGAGAACATTGCACCTCCAGCGCGTGTACTCCGTGTCCTGCCTGGAATCAGACAGCCTCCGGCCAAACCGACAAGGAAGTGCCGTCACTTATCAAGACGCCGCTCAGGAAGCTGTGGAACCTGTGAAACGTCGTCGCTGCACGTAAAGGGGCCAGGGGACGCAATCGCACGCCGGGCCAGGCCAGGCCAGGCCAGGCGGCGCTCTCTTTGAAAAATGCCCATGATGACGACGACGCGGTGGCCGCCGTCTCCCACTCAAGCAAGCGGCCGCAGAGTCTTGCGCCGGAAACCGCCATCATGGACCGCGAAACCGCAACGGCGGCGCCCGGCATCGTCACCACCACCACGCCGGCGCCGGCTTCCCGATCCCCGTTGCGGACCATCAACCTCGGCGCCCTCACGACAACCTTCACGCCGCCCGACGACTGTACGTCCCTCACTGCGCGGTACTACGTCTCGGACGAGCCAAAGACGTACCGCCTCAACTACGGCTTCACCTGCGGCGGCAGCGAGGCGCAAGGCGTCTTGTACGGGCGTCCGATGGCGAAGCCCACCTGTTTCCCCAGCTCCTTCGCCCCGGCATTCACCTGCGAGTTCGAGCTGTCCGACATGGTGACGCCGTATCCCGTGTACTCGCCCGGCTTGGTATGCCCGCACGGCTACGGGCCGAGCTGCACCATCTCGCGGCCAGCAGCGACGCCGCCGCTCGACGCCGCCAACACGACGTCCTACTCGAACCGCGCAGAACGGAGCATCCAGCGCATGCTCAAGGCCGGCGAGACCGCCATCGGCTGTTGCCCCAGGTAAGGACCGGAGGGCGCCCGCGGCGGCCCAGGCATGCACGCATGACTTGACTCGGTTCGCGCGCGCGCGCGCCCAGGAAACCCGCTTCGTCGTCAACCACGCTTACCAGACCATCAAATCCTCTCTTGCAGTGGCTACGTCTGCGACGTGTCCAAGCCCCATGGCTGCGTCTCGACCGTCCAGCCCGGCGGGCACATCTTGGCGGTCGTCGGCGCGCGAGGCGTCTGCTTCCGCTCGACGGCTCTGGAAACCATGACGGCCACGTCGGACACGCAAGCAGTAGCGTGGGGCCCGAGGGTGCTCGTCGTGCAGTCGACGCCGCGGCCGGGCGCGGACGACGAGCCCAGCAACGCGAGCCCCTTGCCCGGCGTCGAAATCGCCGTCGGCGTCAGCATACCCCTGGGACTGATGGCGATTGCGGTCGCCGCGTGGATGCTCGTCTCGCGGCGGCGCAAGAGGAAGACGGCAAAGATGGCCGCAGCCGCTCTCGACGGCGACCGCCGCGACGTTCCAGAGCTGGGCGGCGAGGCTGTGTCATCACAGGCACGCACGCCCACGGACCAGAGCGACGCGTCGCACGAGCTGCCGGGGGACCGTCGCTACATGGCCCAGGAGCTCGAGTGCGTCACCAAGCCAGTAGAGCTGGGCGCGGGCGAGGATACGTAGCCTCGGCTGCTCTCCTCGCCGGGGAGGCGTCTTGGCTGCCGTCGGATCGGAACCCAGTACGTGCGAACGGAAGCGTGGCAGGTGGCACGCCTAGGGGAGATTTGCAAGACGGGTGTACGATCAAGGTGTCGATGCTGCTGCGCCTCGGGGGATGGTGTGCGAGCAAGACGCGTCGATTGCTGCGGTGTATAGTGAACGCAGAGTAGACTGGTATATTGGGGCCGTGGGATGAAACATCTGCCGCGTTGGTTGCACGCGATGAGTGTGTTGACACGTGCGAGGTGCAAGACAATTTGTATATAAATCCGCAAGATGTGTAGAAAGAATTGTACACTAGCATCCCTTGGACGTGAAACAATTTGTGTTTCCATTACACGAGACGTAAGGTTTGTACATTGACGTCGTTTTAGATGCAAGATAATTTGTATTAATTACATAGACACGACAGATGCAACATCACAACATTTCATAGTCACGCCAACCCAGGCCAGGCCGGACCCGAGCAACGACGACGTTGTCGGGGTGCCGTTGAACACGTCGCAGAACAGCTTGATCAGTTTCTCCGCGTGGGAAGGGCCAAGTCCCCTGATATATGCAATGTTTGTCTTTCCTTTTCCAGACGCATCAGCTTCCTCGTTTAGTCACGCTGATCCGCGGCCGGCAGCGAGCTTTTTCAATTGTGAATACTACGGGCGGCATGACATCTCCGGGCCGTCTCTCACGTTGGGCTGGAGACGTGCTGGGATCTACTCAACGCTTCGCCTCTTGCATCTTCGAAAGAAGTGTCGATTTTGGTTCCGTTAAAATGGCATTGCCCCTTGCTTTCTGCCTTGTGTGACGACGCAAATTCCAGAGCAACCCCGTTTGCTCGTACAACAAGCACCCGCTTTTCCACTCACGTGCTCGCCGGCATCTCCTGGGCCGATCGATCTGGGCCCGTGATGGGCATCTCTGAGGGAGGCGACGCCTGCCGGGTCTGCAGGCCTGGGAGCTGCTGGCGCGGCACCGTCTGTCGCTCCGGGTAGCTCCACGGGCGGACCGTGGCCGCCGGAGCCGACAGACTCGCGGCGGCAAGGCCCTCTAGATGCTGAGGCGGCGGCGAGGCCGATCCTAGGCTGCCGTCGACGGTGGCCGTGTCCGACTTGGCCCTGCTGGAGCGGGATTCCGGCCACTTGCCGTCGTCGGCCTGTGGTGCCGAGGCCGGTGCCTGTTCAGGGCCCGGCCCCTTTGGCTTCCGGTGACGCTGGAAGAGGAATGCCAAAAGCCCGATTGAACCCAGCGCGGCTGAGGGAGAGAAATGGCAAACGCCGTCAGCTTCCGCAGCGTCCAACGCGACAAGGTCGGACCCGTCGTTGGACTTACCGGCCCCTCCTACGGCTCCCCCGACGATTGCGCCGGTTGGGCTCTGGGGTGATGGACGTGGCGGCGGAATCGGCGTCGTGCTTGTCGGCGGCGTCGTGCTTGTCGGCGGCGTCGTCGTCGGCGGCGATGGCGCAGACGGACCCGTGCTCGAGGTCGTCAGGACGGCCATTCTTCCGCCGTCCGTGTCGCACTGAAACCAGGTACAGCCCAGACACGGGCCGTCCTTGTAGATGAGTGTTAGGCACGACGGAGAAGCCGGGTCGGAGCTGTCGTCTTGAGGCATCAGCGCTCTGCCCCGTACGCGGCACCGGGCGGCGGCGGATGGACGCGTGCTCTCTCTCTCTCAGGGGCCGGCCTTACCAGTACGTCGTGCGACGCGTGTCTCTCGGCGTGGGCGAAATAGACGGCCAGCACATGGTTGCGAGAGTGCACGACGCTGCGTCTCGGCAACAGCCAGCTGCTGAGATGGCGTCGTCGTAAATGCATGAATAGGGGTTGACGCACCACGCGGCTACGCCAGAGTCAGCTCCTGGGCCGCGACGAGGCACGCTTGACGCGGAGGGGTCTGCAAGCACACCGTACTGCCCGTCGATGTATCCGCAAGTGGCGTCAGCTCGACGTTGGAGCAACGCGGGTTGCGCAGTAGCTGCCGCGGTCGGAGGAGGCCCTTGTCCGGACGGCTCCGGTTGCAGCCGCTGGACAAAAGTACGGGGAGCTGGAATCAGGGTCGCCTTGACACCACACGCAAGGGCGGCGATGGTGCATTTCCACATTGTGCGATGCGTCCTCATCCCCCGGTCGAGGGAAGAGATTGGGGCCGAGTGCTGACTACCAGAAGGCATGGGTGCGTTGTTTGCACTGTTGGTGCAAAATAAGCTGTAGCCGGCAGACAACATCGTTGTCCCTTGGCTCATATATACACACGTGTGTAAGCGGTGATTCTAAATATGGCACATTCCACTCGCTGGCTTAGAGCAACTTGCGAGGCAGGCGGAAGCATTCCAAGACTGAGGGCCTTGATGTAACGTCGGTGTGATGAAGCATGAGCATGACGCCTTGGCTTGGTTCTCCAGTAGTTAATTCAAGACCTTTCGGACCGCCACGTAGATGCTGGGCCCTGAGCCGCCGGCGTAGGGACTCGACCTTTGGCGTCTCGAGCAGGGGGCATGATCAAAAGTCCATCGCCACTCGAGCCGGTTCCTCACCGCGCACCTGTTTGTCAAACCGATCCCAGTCGAAACCAGGCCACTATTTACTTGGTCTTGGTCAACACGACACAGATCAGGTCCCGGCTCACACACTGCAGACATACACTCACCAGAACGAGTACTTCTGCCGGCCGCACGCCACCTGCATCATCCACAAGACAAACTGCCACATCGTCGTCGGTGATTGATGTCGGGTTTGCAGCGGATTAGCGTTGTTCCTGCCGCGCCGCGTCGCGCGCGCTCGGGCTGAGCCACCGCCTCGGCACCGCCTAGGGCCCACTTCTCCGGCGCTCCGCCCGCGTCTGCCACCTCTCCTGTAATCTGATTGGTCAGCAGTGAACCCAGGCGCCGCGCCGCGCGACCGCCAGCTTTCCGATGCGGCGGAGCGGTGCGGCTGGCGACGATAAATATATAACAAGCCTCGTCATCCGCCATTTCAGCGCCAGCATCTGCTGCCGTGCCAACAACTCCAGGATTCAACCCCGACATCAGTCGCAGCACACAATGGGACTCATCAAGACGCTCATCGTCTCTGGCGCTTGCCGTCGCAGTGGCCAAGAATTCAACAAGAGGCGACAAGACAAGAAACAGCAAAAAAGCCACCAAAACGGACAATATCAGTGCCGTTACGCCCAGCCGCATCCGCCACGGCACCAAGGTGACGAGCAGCCCAGCTATTACCAGCCGTACCCGCCCCAGGATCCCTACAGCCAGCCCGACGCATACCACGCGCTGCCGCCGAAGAAATGATACAACGCTAGTTACCTGTCATTAAATCTGGTTCATACGAATCCATTCTATTTCCCAAGTTTGGATCAAACACTGGCGGGTGGGCAGGGATGCAGCCCTTTTCACAACTGTACTCGTAAGGGCTTGTGTAGAATTTTCCGCAATACACACACAGATCCATCGGTTATAAATTACCAATAACGGCGTTGCTTCTGCCATGCGGAGATTTGCGGGCGCTTGGTACTTGAATTTCCCCTCCCCCAAACGCCAGGATCCATGCTGGCGATGGTGTCTGAGCCGTTGGCGTCTCTGGCATTGTTGTCATTATATATGGGGCAGAGTGGACTGCCTGCACCATGCCAACTGTTGCCTGCACCGTCCTTGGTTCCAAGCGTGCGTCTGGGAATTTTGGCGGCGGGACAGAGTCGGAACAGCCTTCCATGACCTCTCTTGGCCAAGCCACGAGTCAGTATGTCAGAGAAGCGCAAGAAAAGGGAATTTCAACTTGTCTTGACGCCTGGTTTCAAGACACAGGGCGTCTAGCACACGTGCTCTGGAGGCGCAACGTTCCCGTGCTTCTGGCCCAGATCAGTCTTCAGAACTCTGCCGAACAACTCCAGCAAAACCTCAAAACAAATCTTGGTGACAGCTGGGTCGTACCGCCCCTTGCTCAGCTCGTCCCGTATGAAGGCATGTTGGGCCCAGGCGAATTCGTGAAAGCTAAAGACGCAACCTGTGGCACGGAGCTTGCTGCGAATCAGGTCACGGCCCTGGTCGGGGACGTGGGTATCCTTGACACCAAAGATCATGGCAACCTCCCCGCCCAGTCTGGGCAAGAGGTCTATGGTGTGGTTGGAGTTTGCGGGCGGAGACGGGGACGAGTTTGCTGCGGCGTAGGGGCCGAGGGTGCGGCTGTGAATGTCCGTGGCAAAATAGGATACGCAGGCGGTTATGCGGGGGTCAAGCTGGGAGACGTCAGACGAGGCATGGCTCGTGGAAATGCAAGAAAGGCGAGCGTACGGCAGCTCGCACAGCTAGATGGCCGCCCAGACACATGCCGGTTGAGCCGATGAGACCGGTACAGGTGGGAAGGGAGAGGAGGTGGTCGACGGTTGCGCACGAGTCGGCATCGTACGAGTCGAGCGTCTATGCACTTGTCAGCTGAGCGGTGCTTTCTAAAATGACAGAAAGAAAACACCGTGTACCTTTTCAATCTTGAACTTGTTGCCGCGGTCCGTGTCCTCCGCGTCGTACTTTAACGGCTCCGGCCCAACAAAGTCATGGTATGAGGACGGCGCCGCAACAATGTATCCCTGCCCGGCTATCTGGCGAGCGAACCGAGCAACTGGACCAGTAACTGCGATTTCAGTGTCAGACTCTGGAGCAACTGACGGGTGTGTGCGAGTCTATGGACCTTGGTAAATTTCGCTAAAGAGGCAGACACCGGGGAACCGCCTGAGTATGGTGAGCTTCCGAACCGCTTCTCCGCTGGTGGGGCCGAGAGCTCACGCCTTGGGATAGCCGGCAACGACGGGGTGAAACACAAAAATGCCTGATATAAAACGGTGACAGGTGAGCCGATGCGTGGGGGCGGGGGTTTGCTGTTGAGGGTGAGGGCACATACGCATGGTGCTGCCCTTGCCGTCGGCAGTTGTGGGCACGTCGACGTGGGATTCTTGGATCAGCATGTTGATTCAGTTGTAGTCTGCGACTTTTTACCTTGGTTTTGTTGACGGGGACTGTTTGAACGGACCAAGATCGTGATATGGACGGTAGGTGGTCAGCGGGCGAACCCGGAGGCGGAAAAATAAAGCGGCCGAAGACGGCTGCAGCACATGCTTCCCTGTGCCGTTGCTGTTTCCGGCATGGCGTGGGTGACAATATTCGGTGGGCAGCGGGCACAATCCAGCTTTCAGCTTCTCTTCCCCATGCTTCATGTCCACGTCTGCATGCCTCGGCCCATTCGAACCTCCGCCCGTGTTTTTTTTTTTCCCCTTCTACGATTTTCTTTCTTCCCCTCCGCCTCTCCATCGTCCCTTGCCCGCTGAGCCGATGGTTGCTTGCGCCCCTGGACCCCTGACATGATGAACGGCCACCCTCCTGCCGTGGGCGACAAGCCCGCTGACGGGAGCTACGAGCACGGCGTCCAGGTCATCGACGAGGACAAGGAATTCAAGTATGCACGCCGCCCGGCCACGAGTCCAAGTGCCGCCGCCGCTAACATAGCGCAGTGAGAATCTCAACGACTACCTGCAGACCACAGACGTCGCCGACTCGGGCTTCAACTACCACCTGATTTCCGTCTTCGGGTCCCAGTCCACCGGCAAGTCGACGCTCCTGAACAATCTCTTTGGCACCGAATTCTCCGTCATGTCCGAGACGGAGCGCCGCCAGACAACCAAGGGCATTTGGCTGTCCAAGAACAGGCGCGGCGAGAGTGGCGGCGCGAGGATGGCCGACAACATTCTCGTCATGGACGTCGAGGGGACCGACGGTCGCGAGCGCGGCGAGGACCAGGACTTCGAGAGAAAGAGCGCGCTCTTCGCCCTGGCCACGAGCGAGGTCCTGATTGTCAACATCTGGGAGCACCAGGTGGGCTTGTATCAGGGGGCAAACATGGGCTTGCTCAAGACCGTTTTCGAGGTCAACCTGCAGCTCTTTCTCAAGGATAAGCAGTACGCCCCCGCCGCACTCGAGCCGTGCCCGCCACGAGTCGCCTGCTAAATTTTCGTCTTGACAGGTCAACGCCGCGATCGCTGCTCTTCTTCGTCATTCGAGACCACCTCGGCACGACCCCGCTGGCCAACCTGCGCACGACGCTGACCCAGGATCTCGGCAAGATTTGGTCCGCAATCTCCAAGCCGCAGGGCCTCGAAGACTCTCGGATCCAGGACTACTTCGACTTTGGCTTCGCCGCGCTGCCCCACAAGATCCTCCAGCCCGACAAGTTTGCCAGCGAGGTCGGCAAGCTCGGCTCGAGGTTCACGGCCGGCCACCGGGGCAGCAAGGGCCGCGACCACGAACTCGAGGGCGGCGTTTTTCTCTCCGAGTACCACCGCCGGATCCCCGCCGACGGCTTCTCCGTGTACGCCGAGGGCATCTGGGATCAGATTGTCAACAACAAGGATCTCGACCTGCCCACCCAGCAGGAGCTGCTGGCGCAGTTTCGATGCGACGAAATCTCCCGCCAAGTCTTGGTGGCGTTTGACCTCGCCGTGGCCCCCCTCGAGGAGCAGCAGGGCGACGCGACCAAGCTCGGGAAGGTCCTGGTCCTGCCGAACCTTGGCCGCGTCGGCAGCGACGCCCGAGAGACGCTGCTGGGCGCCTTCGAGACGCAGGCCAGCCGGTACCACAAGGGCGTGTACGCGCGCAAGCGGCAGGAGCTGGAGGCCAAGGTCGACGCGAGGCTCAAGGCGCTGTACGCGGCCCAGCTGGCGGCGGCGCACAAGGCCGGCGTGGGCGCCTTCAGCGACGCCGTGTCCAGCAAGGTCAAGGCCGGGCAACGGGCGGGCGGCGGCTACGAGTTTGCCGAGATCGTCGCCGGCGAGAAGAAGAGGACGCTCGACATTTTCAGGGCCGAGGCGCAGGGGCTCGCCATCGAGGGCTTGCCGTGGACCGACTTCAAGCCCCAGTACCAGCTGTTCGAGGCCGAGCTCGACGAGGTCAGCGCGAGGCTGCGCAAGGAGGAGATGCGGCGGCTCGCGACGAGGGTGGAGCGCTGGGTCAAGTCTCGCCTCGGCGAGGCAATTGGGCTCGAATTCAACAAGCTTGGCTCGGGGCGCGGCGGCACCGGTGCACCCGAGACTGGCGACAAGCCCTGCGAGAAGGACCTGTGGGACCGCGTCTGGAGCGTCTTCACCGGCATCGTCAGGGAGGCCGAGGGTCGTTTTGCCGACCGCGCCAGGAGCTTCGACGCCAACGACGACGAGGCCGAGGTCGGCATGTGGCGCCTGCGTCGCAAGAGCTGGGTAGGCCTCCGGGAGAGGATCGAGGAGGAGGTCATGGAGGGCAACATCCTCCTCAAGCTGCGCGAGAACTTTGAGGACAAGTTCCGATACGACGAGGCGGGCGTGCCCCGGATCTGGCGGCCGACGGACGACATCGAGGGCATCTACACCAAGGCGCGGGAGTCGACGCTGACGCTCATCCCGCTCCTGTCCAGGTTCCGCCTCTCGACGACATACGCGCCGCCGGATCTGGTGGGCTTCATCGGCGGCCAGCCCGCGAGCGCCGAGGTCGGCGACGAGGAGGACCTGAGCCCCATTGGCGGCGTCGACGAGGAAGAGGGCAAGAGCCTCGAGGAGGAGATGACGGTGCTGAGCGAGAGCAAACGCCAGGACCTGGTCGTGCGGTTCAAGAAGACGGCAGACGGCGTCTACGTCGAGGCCAAGCGCAGTGCAATCGGGGGCGTGGCCCAGATCCCGTGGCCCTTTTACGCACTACTGCTGGCGCTGGGGTGGAACGAAATCTTCATGGGTAAGTTTCCTCCGTCGGGTGCCGGCAAGGGGGGGCGGGGATTTCTGGTGCTGACGAGACGCTCTCACAGTGTTGCGCAACCCCTTCCTCTTCATCTTCCTCCTCATGCTCGCGGGCGGCACGTACGTGGCGTACACGCTCAACCTCCTGGGCCCCATGATGCAGATGAGCAACGCAGCCGTCAACCAGGGCGTCGAAATTGCCAAGCAGCAGCTGCGCGACTTTATCGCAAACTCGGAGACGGCACGGTCGGCCTTGAACGTCCCCTCTGCTGCGCCTGCGTACAGCGAGCGCGAGAGCATCAGCATGGATACTCTGGACGGGCAGGGCAGAAAGTCATCTCCGTCAGAGGACGCCGACGACATTTGAGCATTCTCTAGGTCTCGGGCTCTTTTTTTTAACTTTTTTTCCAAACACGACAAGGACAAGGAATTATATCGGGCGCCGTGATGGAGCCGGCAAGAGAAGAATTTAATTTTTTTCCTTATTCATGGGTAGATTGGGCGAGGTTCGTGTCCTTGATCAAGATTGCGGTTGTTCTTTCACGTGTTCCAGCTTCAACAAGTTATCCCACCCACCCCGAGCGACTCCAGTGCAAAAAAATGTACATCATGTATCATGCCAATTGAACTACGTGCCTCTACGTGCGCCAAAGGAACGCGAATTTCCAACCGCCTGTTGACCTGTTTTGTTTGCGCGCCGTCAAAACGCCGCCGGTCCGACCGGCGAGCCGTACCACCCGCCCAACTCATTCTTGTCCTCGCCACGGCCGGCGACTAAGAAATCCGTCACCCTCATGGAGTCGGCGCCCTCTCCCTCCTCCGCGGGCCATTGGACCTTGACGCCGCCCCCCGACTCGAGCATGTCCTTTGCCGTCCCCCAGCTGAACCTGCATTCGGGGCCCCAGCCAAACACGGGGTGCATGTTCCTCCTCAGCCAGTTGACGCACCTCGCGTCGGAGGGGTACCCGGAGCCCCATTCCATGGGGGGCGCGCCGTCGACGGCGGCGTCCTCGTCCCGGCGCGCGTCGTACAAGACCTCGAGCGCGGCGTCCCTCGTCACCTTGGCGCACACCGAGGCGGCGCTCACGCAGGGGTACAGGCTGTCTGCTTTTTTGGCGACGGTGATGCTGGTCGTGGGGAAGACGCGCTGCAGCTTGGCCTGGTACGTGGCCGGCTGGCCGATGGTGTCGACGTATATCTCGCGGATGTTGAGGCCGCGGTCAAAGGCGCCCTTGATCAGGGCAATGGTGGCGTCCATGGCCTGCGCGTTGAGGTTGTACACGCCGAGCGGGCGGAGCATGTTGGCCGAGATGTCGCGCGCCGAGAGGGCCGCCGTGGCCCAGCCGCAGTTGGCGTGGAGGTCGGTGTCTTGCGTGCAGAGGGTCTGCATGAGCGAGGAGCGCGCCGCGGCCGTGAGCACCTTGGAGTCGTCGAAGTGGTGCGTCGTCCGGAGGAGGGGGTCGGACAGGGGCAGCGGGAGGTAGAAGATGCCGTACACCATGGGGCCGAGCACGGGGCCACGGCCGGCTTCGTCGACGCCGAGGCAGAGGGGGGGAAGCGAGGCTGGGTCGGAGGCGGACGTGGGCGTGAGGAGGGTGGGGGGGACGGGCGAGAAGTGCGTGAATGATGAGCCAGCGACGAGGGCTTCGCGGTGGATCGAGGGCGGGAGAAAGGTCGACGTCGTCGTCGTCGGCGGCGGCGGCGGCGGCGGTGGTGTTTGGTCGGTTTCGTCCATGGTCTTGCTAGCGCGTTGGCGGATAGCAGATGTATTGATTTGCTGTCGCGGACAAGAAGGAACGCTGCCACGTCGGCATGTGACGATTGTGTGTGGTATGTGTGGTGTTGAAGAATTTTGCCCGCCAATTGCGACGAGATGGTGATCATGGATTGTTGCACTTTACGCGTCAAGTGGCGCGTTAAGAGGCACGAGTCGGGTGGCCCCACAAACCGCTCCCATCCCTGTCAAGGAGCAGAGAGGTGCCATGCGGCCTCGGTCGAAGCGACATTATTTTCAAGTAACACGACTTCTCATCCCCTCGCTTGGCGAACAGGGTTGTTTCGCGACAAGGGCACGCGTCTGTTGCACACGAGGCCTCTGCGTTGGCCAAGTGAGGACCATGCGAGGTGTTGCGTAAAACAGCTGCGCATACTCCGTACAGAGTACCGGAACGACGACTAGTACGTACTTGCAGAAAGACACAGACGAAAGCCGGAAAAATGCGGCCCATGCTCTTATTCTCTGCTTCGCCTTCTTGTTGTCGTCCCTGTAGACATCTGCTCGTGATCATTGATTCATTTCCTGAACCATCGCCGGGTATTGCTGGTCTACGTGAGAAGACTCAAGAAAGGGGGGCAAACGGAGCGGTCTGATGTTCCAACTGCCCGATAATTTCGTGGTTGTACCAATGTTCACTCATCCCGAGCCTCTTGGGTGAGTGTGGTCTCCCCTCAAAGGCTTCGAAAAAAACAGCGCCCCCTCGAGCGGGTTGAAATAATATGGCCTTGTCGGAGTAAACCCTTCCGACTTGTAGAGCCCGATGGCTGACTGCATTTTGGGCAGCGTATCGAGAAACATTTCGTCATAGCCGATCTGCGCGGCCGTCTTGATGGCCGCCTGGAGTAGCTTCCTGGCAACCTCGCGCCCTCGCGCCCTCGGATAGACGTATAGTCGTTTCAGTTCGCAGCTGCGAAGACGCCCATGTCGCGGATGCACAAAGTCGTCGTCGAGACTGAGGGGCCGAAATGCAATGCATCCTAGGACCTCGCCTGATGGTCCATCGACGGCGAGGATGAGCCCGCCGGCCGGAGGGGCATATTTGCCGGGCAGATTGGCAAATTCTTGCTTGTGGTTTTGGAACGAGATGTCTTGGTCGAGCCAGTCCGTGTATTCTTGGAGGCAGGCTTTGACGGCGGGAAGATCTGTCGAGTTTGCCGGACGGATGATGACTGGTGTTTGCAAGTCGGGTGCCGTCATTGTAGGGCTCAGAAAAATTGCCATCATCGTGGGCGTGGATGACTGCGGTGATTTGGCCCATGCAACCACCCGGCGGCGTCGGCGATTTAGTTAACCCGCGGGTTCGCTTTCGTCTGTCGCGAGCCAATGCTCGGTTCGGCATTCAACCTGCCAACATCATTCGACGGCCGCGCATATGGTAGCAGTCGATATCTGCAGGCGCCTTGCGAAGAAACATCCGCTCCCTTGGACCACAACCAGCCCGCAACCACACTTGGCCGTCGCGCAAAACCGTCGTCAGAGACGCTTCAAGGCCGCCCCAACACTCGCACCCCTTGTTCGCCAACCACTCCCATAGACGACAGAACAAGCGTCATGGGCTGGCTCTGGTCGTCATCTTCAAAGCCTTGCACGGGCGAAAAGGCCACACCGTCGCCACCAAGAGAGCGAGAGCAGTCTGCCGCGCCCAACGAGCCCGTCGACCCAGAGATTCAAAAGCTCTTCGACCTCTTCAAACGCGAACCCGAGCCGTCTTCCACCAGTCGACGATCCTCTCCCTCACAGCCGTCCTCGGACGACAAGTCCTCATCATCCATCGCGTCCTGGCTGGCCTTCAAAGCATCGGCCAAGTCCGCCGACAAACAAGTGCCCGATGCCCCCGTCGGCGACGCCCTCTCCGAGTCCCTCCTCCCCACCGACATGAGCTGCCGGCAAGCCTTTGACCTCGCATGGAGTTGCAACGGGCTCGGCGGGCAGTTCAACTCGGTCTACCGCTACGGCAACATGCGCTCCTGCAGCGAACACTGGGACGACTTTTGGTTCTGCATGCGCGCAAAATCCTACACGGGGGAGCTCAAGGCCAACATGGTCAGGACGCACTACCGCAATAAGGCGCACAGCAAGTACGGCGACGGGAAGCCTAGTAGTGAAGACGTGTGGGAGCGCAGGACAGAGAAGCTGCCGCCAGGGTCTGCGTTTAACGTGCCCGTGGATCCGCCCACGGTTGGCGATGATGAATGGAGGCGGACGGAGGAGGGGAGGAGGAAAGACGTGCGGAGAGACGGGGGGTACGGATCATGAGTGCTGCAAAGGCGCAAGTTTGGGCATGCGTCGGTGTATCGACCTTCTCTGCTCATTCCAGGCCGAACCACATGTGACAGGGGACGAGTGTGCCGCGGTGTCTTTGTGGTTGAATGGTAGCTGAGCGTGAATGGATTCATTTCTTTCATTCGGTACGGGAGCCACAGATGCAATGGTCTCGCCGGCTGCCACGATAATCTTCAAATCCAAGCCAGCCCCCTCCCCCCGGGTGTCTCCCCCCTGGGTGCAAGGGATGAAGAGTGATGCTTTGCGTGCGTTTCCCCTGCCTGGGCCGCGGGCTACTGTGTCATCCAGGAAAACAATAGCGCCAAACTTGAAGAAGTGAGCCTTGTCGGGGACTCAACCAACTGGCAGTACAGATTCTCGATAATCTAAGAGTAATCATCAGCGTCGAAATTACGCGAAGTCTTCTCTCAAACGCTGCTGTCCTTGGCTCGACCATCCTCTTTATTAGACAAATGATATTAAGAGACTTGAAAGCAGACTAGGCTATGAATAAGTGTTGGCTGGCACTGGTACATGTGATTTGGAATGGTATGATTGATGGCAATGTGTACAACTAAAACTAGGTCTAGTAGCAACCAGAGAGCTCCCACCCTGGACTGTCCATCGCTGCTGTCGCGTTGTATTGCAGCTGCGGTACGAGACGACTGAGCGGCCGCTAAACAAACCAACGTGGAATGAAAGGGGTTGGCAGCCACCGATTCCGGGGCTGTGATTTTGGAAATGCAGTCCGTCGTGCCGTCACGTTGGCATCACGTAGAGTTCAGCCACCCCACGGTCTGGTGGTTGAATGTCCCTCCTACCGCATCCCCCATCATTCATCTGAGCTGGCAGCCAAGTCAAGTGCAGCCGACGTGAACATCATCATGCCGTAACCTCCGTCAAGGCAGGTTTGAGATTTCCTTGTCGCCGACTCGGCCCATTTCCTCCTTGCCCGTGCCCTGGCCGCGTCCCATTTGACCGCCACTTGATGTCATCGAGAAAAGCTCTCCAGATGTCCCGAAATTTCTCTCAACTCAATGCGGGGCGGCTTCTGGGTCAACGCAACTCGTTCTCGTCCCGTGCACCCGGTGGCAACTCAAGTACCTTGTACGTCTGGCCAAGTCAGCCCCGCATACTGCTAGAGGTCGATACCTGTTCTATTTTTTTCGAGCAGAAGCTAGAAAACACTAGACGCAACCGCACCTGAACTGACTGGGAGAGCTGCCCCTGCCCCACTTTGGTCTGACGTGATTGGGCGTCATTGCTCTCCAAAGCCGTCAAACAGCTTCCCCCCTGCAAGGTTGGAGTGGGCTCGCGCAAGACCTTTGGAAGAGAGTGGAAGCACATCGAAGCAAGACCACTTTTGATTTATTTATCAACCTCTCACGGTTTGCCCGGTGGGAGCGCTTTTTCCCTCATCTTCATGTTCCTTCATATCTCACAAGTCATACGATTTTCCTCATTTTGCCATTTCTTTCTTTCAAAAATTCAAGCAGCCTATTTATTTCAATTGGCTCTTTGCAACACGTTTTACGTCATATTCCCCCCGCTCCGCTAGACTCCCATCACATCCACCATCACAATGAGCGGAAAAGTCACTGCTATCGGTATCGACCTGGGAACCACGTACTCGTGCGTTGGTGTCTTTGACCAGGAAAGATGCGAAATCATTGCCAACGACCAGGGCAACCGGACGACGCCTTCGTACGTCGCCTTCACTGACACGGAGCGTCTGATTGGTGATCCCGCCAAGAATCAAGTTACCAAGAACCCCGAGAACACCGTATTTGATGCCAAGCGATTGATTGGCCGCAAGTTCAACGATCCGGAAGTCCAGTCCGACATTAAGCACTTCCCGTTCGAAGTCGTTGATCAGGATGGCAAGCCTGTCATTCGGGTGAATTACATGGGCCAGGTCAAGGTTTTCACGCCCGAAGAAATTTCATCCATGATTCTCATGAAGATGCGTGAGATTGCGGAAGCCTACATCGGTGAACCCGTTACCAATGCCGTCATCACCGTCCCAGCCTACTTCAATGACTCTCAGCGTCAGGCCACCAAAGATGCCGGTCTTATCGCTGGCCTGAACGTCCTCCGTATCATCAACGAGCCCACTGCCGCCGCCATCGCCTACGGTTATGACAAGATTCGGCCTGAAGACAAGGACAAGGACGAAGTAGAACGCTACATTCTAATCTTTGATCTCGGCGGTGGTACTTTTGATGTTTCCCTCCTGGTTGTGACTGGCGGCGTGTTTGAAGTCAAGGCGACCGCTGGTGACACCCACCTGGGTGGTGAGGACTTTGACAACAGACTTGTCAACCACTTTGTCCTCGAATTCAAACGAAAGCACAAGAAAGGTTTGTGAAACTCGCCACAGTGCATATGGTCAACCTGATGCTAACCTGATTGTAGATCTCACCACCAACTCGCGCGCCCTGCGACGTCTCCGAAGTGCCTGCGAGCGTGCCAAGCGAGTTCTGTCTTCGGCGTCTCAGACCTCGATCGAGATTGACTCACTTTTCGAGAATATCGACTTCTACACGTCCATCACCCGGGCTCGTTTCGAAGAGCTTTGCCAGGATCTCTTCCGATCCACCATGCAGCCCCTAGACCGCGTCATTTCCGACGCCAAGATTGACAAGAACCAGGTCCATGAGATTGTTCTCGTCGGTGGCTCTACGCGTATTCCCCGCGTCCAGAAGCTCATTACCGATTACTTCAACGGCAAGCAGCTCAGCAAATCCATCAACCCTGACGAGGCTGTCGCGTACGGTGCTGCCGTCCAGGCCGCTATCTTGTCTGGTTACAACTCCCAGACGACCAACAGCATCCTGCTGCTGGACGTCGCTCCTCTGTCCCTGGGCATTGAGACTGCTGGTGGCATGATGACCAAGCTGATTCCCCGCAACACCACGATCCCCACCAAGAAGTCCGAGGTCTTCTCCACCTTCTCCGACAACCAACCCGGTGTGCTCATCCAGGTGTATGAGGGCGAGCGGCAGCGTACCAAGGACAACAACCTGCTCGGCAAGTTTGAGCTCACCGGCATCCCGCCCGCTCCCCGCGGTGTCCCGCAGATCGAGGTCACGTTTGATCTCGACGCCAACGGCATCATGAACGTTTCTGCCGTGGAGAAGGGCACCGGCAAGTCCAACAAAATTGTCATCACGAACGACAAGGGCCGCCTTTCAAAAGATGAGATTGAGCGTATGCTTGCCGACGCCGAGAAGTACAAGGAGGCTGACGAGGCCGAGGGTCGCCGTGTTGCCGCGAGAAACGCGCTCGACCACTACGCCGCCAACCTGCGCACCACGCTCCAGGAGCCTGGCGTTGACGAGAAGCTTGACGCCAGCGACAAGGAAAAGCTTGCTGCCGCGGCCGACATCAGCTCTTGGCTTGAGCAGAACGAGCAGGCCAGCGCAGAGGAATATGAGGCTCGCCAAAAGGAGATTGAGGCTATTGCCAACCCCATCATGATGAAGTTTTACGGAGCTGGAGGCCAGGCCGGCGGTATGCCCGGCGGCATGCCCGGTGGCCCTGGCGGTTTCCCAGGCGGTGCCGGCGGTGCCGGCGGTGCTGGCGGCCACGGCGGCGATGACGGCCCGACCGTCGAGGAGGTTGATTAAATGCCTTGATACCCAATGGCGCCAAGTGTGCCAGACAAGGCTGGAGGGTTTGCGGGGTGTTTTCAGAGATGAATGATTTTAGAGTTTGCTGTGACAATTTTGCTCTTTTGCTCGTTTGCATTGACGATTATGATCAAGGGATCCGAAAAGAACTGGTTTGATTCACCCGGGACTGTACTTTAATGAGTCGCATGAATAAAATGCCATTAACCTGAGTCATGAGTTGGCAAGGGCAAAGTAACTACGTGACTTATTTGACAGGCTTTGATTTTTGCACATGAAGGCGTGGGCTTGGCACAGCGCCGAAAATGTGGGTGGTGTGCGGTGATGGGGAAAGCCGAACACATGCATGATTTGCTTCCATTGTTTGAAATTCGGACGCGTTCGCCCATGCTTTGGGATCGTTCCCACGGCAGTTTCTTGAATTGCGCGCGCCGTCGGACCTGTGTAACGTGTAACTACATGGGCGCATCTCAACGCGTAACCGCCCAATGTCATTTCCCTTCCCCTTTTCTGGGTCCCTTCTACGGTCTCTTCCGCCCCTTCTCTTCCACCTTGCTTCATCGACCCACGCACGGCAGGCCATCATCGATTATCTCCCCGTCCTTCTGTCCGTCCCGGTCGGTTGGTTTCTCGCACTCTGGCCGCTCTGCCAGCAGCCGGCGCCATGCTCGCCCCCAAGATTGATGTCCCGACGCCGGAGCCGAACGGCAGAGGCTGCAGCGCCATGCACCTGGCACCGCCCAGCCCAAGCGACATTGGCATATCGTCGGCGAGCTTGCACGGACATGCGCAGGAGCCGCGGCCGTCGACGTCCACCAAGGGGGAGACGGTCAACGATAAATACGTGGTCGTGTACGACTTTGGCGGCATAGGTGTGATGTACCCGGCCGCTCGCCCTTGGGTCTGCCGACGGCGCAGAGAGAGAGAGACGACGACATCATGTTGACACACCGAGTCCTACAGATTACGACGCGGCGGCCAAGGAGTTCAGCCGCCTGCTCGACAACCTGCAGGCTGCCGGGCTGCACACAGAAGTCCGCCCGGGCTACGAACAGACCCTTCTCGTCCTCGTCAAGGCGCCGTCCCAACTGTTGGGAAACGCAGTCTACAAACAAAGGTAGCTAGCTGGCCACCCGACCTTTGCCGCGCCGCACCGCACCGCACCGCACCGCGAGACGGCAAAACGAAGCCGAGCCGACACGCTGACACGTTGACACGCTGGCAAGGGTCAAGGACTGGCTGTATGCCATCACCCAGTCCCACCCCGGGGGCGACAAGCACACCGTCGTCCGGGCCTGGTTCGAGGCCGAAGACGTGCTCGCGCTGTACCACCTCGTCCTGTGGCCCAAGGACCTGGGCGGCGCCGGCATCACGCCGGGCGTGGGCGAGTGGCAAAACGTCAAGGCCACGTTCCCGCTGCACAACGAGGCCGTGAACCAGTCCATGCTCCGCCACCTGAGCAAACGCGTCATGCTGACCGCCGACGACTTTGACAAGATTCGAGACCTGCACGGGTCCAAGATTGCCTTTTACTTTGCCTTTATCCAGACGTACTTGACGTTCTTGACGTTTCCGGCCGTCACCGGCGTCTTCACCTGGCTGCTGCTCCCCAAGTACTCGCTCGCCTACGCCATCTTGACGGGCGTCTGGTGCACCGTCTTCCTCGAGTACTGGAAGATCCGGGAGACTGATCTCAGCATGCGCTGGATGGTGCGCGGCGTCAACAAGGTCAAGGTCAACCGCCCGTCCTTCAGGTACGACAAGGTTGTGGTCGACGACAACGGCCGCACCAAGCACTACTTTCCCAAGTGGAAGCAGATTGCTCGCCAGCTGCTTCAGATGCCCTTCATCATGCTGGCCACGACTGTGCTTGGCCTCATCATCTGTTCCGTCTTTGTCGTGGAGGTCTTGATCTGCGAAACCTACGAGGGCCCTCATCAATTTTACCTGGTAGGCGTTGCCGGCCCTCTGACTTTTGTCTGCCCTTGCTCTGCTTCGTCCCTGCCTGCCGTGACTCGAGCTGACGCGAACCTTTTGCTGCCGCGCAGGAGTACGTGCCTACGATACTGCTGGCAGTGGCCATTCCCCGCATCTCGTCGTGTCTCGAGGGCATCGCGACGACACTGACGGAATACGAAAACCACCGGACTGCCGATGAGCACGAGATGTCGCTGACGCAGAAGCTCTTTGTCCTCAGCATCGTCACCAACTACCTGCCGATCCTGCTCACGGCATTCGTCTACGTGCCGTTTGGCGACGTCATCATCCCCCGTGTCAAGCAGGCCGTCGTCAGCCGCTTCCCAGCACTGGCGGCCAGGCTGGTGTTCCGCCCCTTCGCGTCCGACACGGACTGTCTGCGCAACCAGGTGATTGCGCTGACGGTGACGGGGCAGCTGTCGGACTTTTTCGGGGAGAACATCCTGCCGCTGATCAAGTACAAGTGCAGCGACTGGTACCGCGAGTACCGCCGGGCCTACACCAGGGGCCCGATGCTGCTGACGCTGGTTTCCGACGACGCCGGCGAGGCCGAGTACCTGAGGCGCGTGCGGAACCAGGCGACGCGGTCCCAGTACAACGTGCAGGAGGACATTGCCGAGCTCGTGCTCCAGTTTGGCTACCTGGCGCTGTTCTCGCCCGTGTGGCCCCTCGTGTCGCTGGGCTTCCTCGTCAACAACTGGATCGAGCTGCGGTCCGACTTTGCCAAGATTTGCATCGAGCACCGGCGGCCGGCGCCGACGCGGTCCGACGGAATCGGGCCGTGGGTGACGGCGCTGGAGGCGCTGACCCTGCTGGGGAGCATATCCACGGCCGCCATTGTCCACCTCTTCGGCACCGACACGCTCGGCGGCGGCGGGTGGACGACGCTGCCCGTGACCATCTTCGTCAGCGAGCACCTGCTGCTCCTGCTGCGTGCCCTGACGCGGTGGATCTTTGAGCGCTACGGCTCGGAGCAGATCCGCAGGGAGCGGCACGAGAGGTACGCCCGCCGCCTGCACTACCTCGAGGGCATCGAGGCCAACAAGCGGGCGGGCGTGAACCTCAGCCCTGCCGAGCGGGAGCGCCGGAAGTCGGTCCTCGTCGCCAGCTCGGGCAGTTTCTGGACCAGGCAGGTCGACGAGGGGAGCAGCGCCGCGGCCGGGCTGCGCCTGATGAACCTCGCGAGGCAGTGGAGGGACAAGGGTCGAGGCGGCGAGACCAAGATGGACTAGCCGGACGCATCGGATCGGGGCCGCAAAGACGACGGTGGGAACATGCAACACATGCACAAGTGATATCGCAGTATATTGTACGTAATGTAGCACGCGACGCGTCGGTCCCCGTTTCGCTCACGTCCGTCTTGCCTCCCCTCGTACCGTAGCCTCGCACCGTAGGCTGTTGTGCCCGACGTGTATCGCCAGCCTACCTGGGCGAGGGGGGCAAAGGAGGCCTCGCCCGTCAGTCACTTGGCCACGCCCACGTCGCCCGTCAGAGTCGATTGATCCTCCAGAAACGCCCTGAGCTTGTCGTCGAGCCACTTTACGTCGTCGGGGTTTAGTCCCGGCCCGCCGGCCCTGGTGGCGTGTCAGCACGGACGCTTTCTGGACGGGTGCCTCCTTTTCTGTGTCTCTCTCTCTCTCTCTGTGTGTGCATGCGTGCGTGTCTCGGATTACTCACCAGTGCCCCCAGATGGACGGAATTGGAATGCACGTCCCGACACCGGCCTCCATGCACTGGACCTCGTACTCAGAGTCCTCGGGGGGGAAGTACAGGTCCTCCCTGCCCGGCAGGACGAGCATCCTGGTCCTGATGCTCTTCAAGGCCAGCTCCAAGTCCTTGTTGTACGGCTCCTGGTCGGAGCAGTCGCCCGCCTGCCAGGCGCGCAGCATGACGAGCAGGTTGTCGGGGTCTGGGAGGGCGCAAGAAAACAACAACAACAAGTTAGCAGGCGAGCGGGCGGGCGGGCGGGCAGGGCGGGCGAGCGGGCAGCGGCACCTTTGGAAAGCGCCCACTTCTCCCAAAAGTTCTGCATAAAGTCCTCGAGCGACGTGTACCCCAGGGCCGTCTCGTACAGCCTCTGCCGGTAAAAGGCCTGGCTGAAGCCCCAGCCGGCGTAGACGCGGGCCAGGGCCTTGAGCCCGGCGGCGCGCTCGTCGGCAGTCCAGGGACGGGAGCCGGGACCGGCGGCCTCGCCGCGGCACGAGCCGGCGGACGCGGCCCCCCTCGCGGCGAGGAGCGCGCTCTTGACGCCCTCGAGGAAGACCTGGTTGTGGAGCGAGGTGCGGGCGCTGCCGCAAAAGGGCACGGCGAGGTCGGCGAAGCCGGGGTACTGCGTGACCCACTGGTAGGTCTGGCAGGCGCCCATGCTCCAGCCCAGGATGCAGCGCGCGTGCGTGACGCCCAGGCACTCGGTGACGAGGCGGTGCTGGGCCGTCACGTTGTCGCGGATGGTGACGTCGGGGAAGGGCGGCGCGCCGGGCGGCGGGCGCCAGTTGGACGGGCTGCTGGACTGGCCGTTGCCGAACATGGCGGGCATGATGATGTAGTACTTGCTGGGGCTGAGGGCCTTGTCGTCGCCGACGAGCCACTCGTTGTCCTCGATGGCGCCGCTGAACCACGACGGGTAGATGACGGCGGGGAGCCGCGCGTCGCCGGCGGTCTTGTAGGCGATCGAGGCCGACGGGATGGTCTCGCCGCTGACGAGCTCAAAGTCGCCGAGGTGGTACGTCTTGTAGCCGTCCATGGTGGCGGCGTCGGCCGGTGCCTCGAGTCGGATGGGAAGCGATGGAGGAGGAGGAGGCGGAGGAGGTGATGGGTGGATGGACGGACGACTCGGTCGACAAAGTGCGGGGAAACGTCGTGAGGCGGGTTTGTCGCCCTCGCCTCGCCTTGCCGAGCCGAGCCGAGCAGGAGTGATGCCCGTCAAGGCGACCACGCGCCGGGCCGGGCTGGGGTTCGTGGCTTCGCTTGCGCGTCCCGGCGTGGCCAAGTATCGCGGACCAGGTCGCCTGCTTATCGGTCGTGAATGACAAGCTTTGTCAAAATAAGCTATTCACGTAAGAATATCTGCTGGCTAGCAAGGATACCGCTCGTACGTTGCAATGTAGTTGCCGTTGCCAAGCATCCTGCCACGCGTGCTGTGCCACGTCTTCTACTTGTGGGCGAGGATATGCTTGAGTATCAGTATTCATGCTAGAAATGCTGGGATATTTACCCGCGAGCGATCAAGTGGTATGCTTGTAGATGATGTAGTTGCGTTACGGGGCATATCCCGGCGTGCTGTGCTATGGCCGATGGTTGCCAATTATATATGCCAATATATAGTACTATAGTCGATATTAAAACGCACACACTGGCACACCATCATGTATTGGCTTGCTGGCAATGCTAGCCAGTACATGATACCATCGTTGCCGTTACGCACATGCCGGCACAGCCCCGTTGGCAATGCCAATACATGGCCGTGTGGTCGCCATTACGAGGAACATGGCTGTATGCTCCCGTGTCTGGCATCTACGCTGCAGCACAAGCCAGCAACGGGAGTGCCCGTGCATGATTGCAAGGATTCCTGGCATCTTCACGAGGCACCGGGCCGACCAGACGCGACTGCCTCTGCTCCGCCACCAAACAGGGCAATGATTCATGGTTGCCTCGTCTTGTCTGTGCCGCCGGCAACAAGCTTGCTCGTGCGTATAGCCCAGCCACGGCCGCCGAATCCAGATCCGGACTGTGTGTGGACCGGAAGGATTCCCGCCTCGGCTATTGAGAATTTGTCGCATCATTACCATGGCCTGGCTTCGCAGCTCGGCCAGGCCAGGGCAGGGCGTGCTCCCTCGCCGCTGACGGTTCCCTGCCGCGCCCAGTCGTCCATCTGCGAGGCTCTTTCTTTGCATCATCTTCACACGGCGCCAAATTTGCTTGATCCGCCGTGGCTAGCGGTCGGCCGGCGTGGACAAGGAGGCAGACTCTGATGGGCGGAAAAGGGGGTTGTTGTGGCTCACGGCATGGCCCATCTGGAGACTGGCACCGGCGCCGGGGAACGGCGGGAGGACTGCGGATTGCAAGTTCAAACGCGGCACCGGTAGGATCTGAAGGATTGCACTCATTTCCCCACGCCGGACCCTCGCAGACCAGACCTGCAGGCACGCCGCGGCGCTGCGGCAGAGTCGCTTGCGAGACGGCCCGCGGCCATCACAAACGCGGATGCTGTTGCCACCAATGACGCTGCTGGCATGTCCGAAAGCGTCCGCCCGCACCGGCTGGCCGGCTGGCCTCGTCTGGCCTGCGAGTTGACGTCGTACGGGAGTAGCTGCTCGTCCAGAGACGCCAGGACCCTTGGAAGCAGACCACGCTGCCACGCCTCGAAACGGGCAGGCAGGCCGCCGCGTGGAGACGAGAGCTCACTTGGGCGCCGTGACTTGGACTTGCGACGAGAGGCGACACGGGTCGGGGCTGGAATAGATGGACGCCTGCCGTCGAGTCCTGGGCGACTCGGCGCTGCTGAGCAAGAATTGCCTCGCCTCGCCGTCTGGCCGTGGCCAATATAAAAGGGGGGCCGAGTCTCGAGTCTCGAGTCTCGCCGGGCAGTCTGCGTCGTTGTAAGCTGTCAGCACGCCCTTCCATTCGACATCCCTTCGCTTCCCTTCCCTCCGCAAAGAATCCGAACCTCAGCCCGCGACAATGAAGGCAGCCGTGGCCTTGTCGACTCTCCTCGCGAGCCTGGCTTGGGCGAGCCCTGCCCAAGACCCAAAGGCCGTGGGCCGCCATCTATCCAAGCGATGCCGCGATTCCGACTTCGCAATGGAAGAGGCCAGAGCGGCAGGGTGTCCCACGTCGATAACGAATTGCAATCTCGTCGGTTGCGGCTGCGACTGGGGATGCGTAAGTTTGGCTGCTGGGCCGCGCCTCGGCTCTTGGTTGACGTGACCGAATACGTTCTGAAACTAACTGGCCATTTCAGCAGGTGAGTCGGCTTCTGCCATGTGTCACCTGCCGAGTATCTGGGGTCGGTTGTTCACGCGCTCCGTGACTGCAGATGGTAGGTTGTGCCGTCGATGCTTGGGTACGTACGTGCTGACGCTTTTTGAATTTAGATGGTGAGTGCTTCCGTCTACGGCGAAACCGCACGGCTGGACGCTGTATCTGCTTTCCATTCCTGTGCTTACACGCCTCAGTTTGTGAGTCCTCGGCCTTGGATACACCACGGTTGATGTGTTGTGTTTCCGCGCAATGCTAACGGATAGCCGTAGCCGGTGAGTGGCGCCCTCGAGACGGCGCTGTCGGGTTCAAGGCTGAGCACGAGGCAAATTCCAGGGAGTAAGTCGTCGTGCGCCCAACTCGGCATCTGCATCTAGATCCGGCGCTGACTTGCAACGCGGCGTCTCTAGGCGGTAAGTACTTTGGCCGACTGGCGATGACTTGTCCAGCTCGGGCTAATCGCCTCTGCCAATCCCAGGGTGTAAGTGATGGTCCATGACTCGCCATGCCGCTCGAGAGCTTCACTGACGCCAAGACGCACCAAACGTAAAGGGAGTGAGTATTTCATTTCACAAGTCGTCACCCGCGAGGGTCGAGTGCTGACAACTGCAGCTCGTAAGTTTTCACCATGTCCAGGGCCGCAGGGCCAACGTCTGCGCTTTCGTGCTAATGCGCTCGGACGCTGCAGGGAGTACGCTCTTTTCTGCTTGTCTGTTGAGCGCCCCAAGTACGGCTTGTGCTGACGTGAAGCCGGTGATAGGGTGTAAGTAGTCACTCTGGGATGCCTTGATATCCTTCCTTGCGCTGAAACAAGCGGCAACTACAGGGAGTAAGTTCTCTACGCTAGAATCGACGGCAGACGTGTGCATTTGGTGCTAACATGCTCGGCAACCCCAAGGTAGTAAGTGCCCTCTTGATCAGCCGCGTGGCTCCGTATCAAGGCTTGGTGCTCATGCGCACGGCGACGACAGGGAGTAAGTAGCCTTGCGAGGCGCAGCGAAGGCATCGACTGTTCGTCCCTGTTCCCAAGTCACCCATCGCCGCCGTTGTCGGGATGCGGCAGATGAGGGCGGGAAAAACGCTTGTTGCCTCTCTCGCCGTGCCGTATTGATCAGCTTGACGTTGGGGCCAGATGCTGACTGTGGCCTTGGTAGATGGTATGTGCCGAGTGAGACCCTGAGACCCTTTTTGCCTCCATCTCCTGCTGACTCATGCGACTGTAGACGGTAAGCATTGAAGATGGAATAAAAATAATAAAATAGAAACCCACGCCTCGTCTTGGTGCTAAGCAACGACCGCAGAAAGTAAGTGCTGCCCCTGGGTGCCAAAGCGATGAGTCGAAAAGAGACTGATGCTTGACAATGACAGTTTGTAAGTCCTCGGTCTCTTGTATCACCCTCGAGATGTACATGCTGAGATGTGTGGCAACCGTAGATAGTAAGTAATTTCTCCCGGGCCAAGGTGTACAATACCCCTCGGTGTCCAGACGGACATAACTGCTGACGCGGCGAACACAGACGGTAAGCCGCCGTCTTGCTTCAAGCAACACGACTCAATATCTAGGTCCATCGTTCACAGGCTTGGTAACTATAGGGCGTACGCCGTCACTTGTGCCCTTGAACCCGTCCACATCCCACGTCCACGTATTTGGGACTCGCGCTGATGCATGTACATGGCCGCCACAGGGAGTAAGTGGTGATTCTGCAGGGAGCCGCATGACTGAACATGTAGATCCAAGGCTAAAGTTGGCACGGCGCGACTGTAGTGTGTGAGTAGTCAAGGCGCTCCACGTCTGGGCTTTCCATTGATGCTCACAACTTGCAGGCTACGAAAAGCAGCATTTGCGACAAGCAGACGTTTTCCTTGATGGTGTCACATTGAGTGCGCCCCTGGTGTACCGGCAATTCTTGTCGTCTCGCCATGAATAGACGTCGCGTTGCGTGGTTTCCGGGTGGATGGATGGACGGACGGCGGAATCAAGGCGCAAGCTCAAGTCGTGGCATGGAGTTCTCCAGCGGAGTTTAAGCTCGGCCGACTGGCAGCGGGATTTTGCTAGTTCAACGTGGTACTTTGTGCCTTTGCCTCCTTGACGTTTGCTTTCCTGTCGTCTGAAGTCGTCGCCTCTTGGGCTCAACGTGCCGACCAGACCCGTGCCCGTGTTGTGCCGCGCATGCGCCCAGCCCTTGCGTCGTGGGTTCCCGTTCTTCGCCGGTTGACCAAAGGACTGAAATAAAACAAGTGCGAAAATTGTCGACGCCTTCTCGTCCGCCCCCCTCCCGTGGAGATGGTTGACGACGCCCGCCGAACGGAGCCACGTTAACTTGGCTTTCGAAACTCGAGCTTCCCTGCTGTAATGCTTATAATAGGCATTAAGTAATATTAATACTTGCTTCTTCTAAGTTTTCTAGCTAAGTCTGCTCTATAATAATACCTCTTATTTTCTTAAGTTATATAACTTACTTTACTTTCTCTCTTAATAATTTAAGAGAGAGAGAAATTATTATTAACTTTAATACTAATATCTCTTAATAATATTAATTATATTAACTATTACTAGCTTTTAATTATTTTAAACCTTAATCTACTATATTTTAATAGTTAAGTTTAAGTAGTTTTAAATATTTTTATTAAAGAATAAACTACTTTAAATTATTAATAAAGACTTTTTATATTATTCTCTTTTCTTTAAATTCTACTTTATATAATACTAATAATACTACTTTATGTTAGCTAATTAAGAGACTCTCTATAGATAATATAATTAGGCTTATATAATTTTAATTACTAAGTAAGAAATAATAGAGATTCCTAATATATAATAGAAGGGACTTATAGAATAGTATAAATTTATATAGAATAGTATAATTCATATAGAATAGTATAAATTTATATAGAATAGTATATAATATTATAGGGCGGCACGTTACTTAATCAAGCACGGGAGGAGGAGACGATCCACAATGGTCGCCTGGGAAGTATTTAAACTGTGGGTTTCCCTCTCGAGTTGGAGTCGGACCTCTACCTCTTTTTTCACACACTTTTACAGCCGTGCGGTTTCTGGAGTGACGCGTTGAGACACAACGCGCACCGAATTAACTTGATTGTTTACGGCATCACCTTGCTGTAGTGTCATCGGACAGACAAGGGCATTAAGAGAGGAAAGGCAACTTGGTTCGACAAGAGAGAGCAATATCAGAGACGTCCATTACAACCAGATTTTCAGGCGGTAGCTTTCCACCTAGGGGCTCTTCAAGATCAGGCGGATCGAATTGGCAACATACCGGCGGTAGACGGTGGACTACGTGTGTTACAGTTGCTGGAGGCAATACAAACCTAAATAACAGAGATGCGAACCGGAATAACAGAGATACAAACCGAAATGACAGAGATGCAAACCAAAATAACAGAGATGCGAACCGAAATGACGGAGATGCGAGCCGAGATGACGGAGATGCGAGCCGAGATGACGGAGCGATTTGACAAGTTCCAAAAAACTCTGCAGCAAATGCAGCGAGAGAACCTGGCCCGGTATGTGGATCTGTTTGCCGTCTTGGACATTAATGGTAATGGAAAGTTGACGTGTGGCAGAGATCGAAACCAGCAGGCGGTGTTGGAGAACAGTCCTGTAACTGATGCCAGCAGTCGCTTAAAGCCGTTGTGCAGTTTCGCTACAGGCGAAGTGATTGATTCGTTTCCACAGAGTGTAATGCAGCTAAATCAATTAACAGGTAGGCTTGATTGTGGCGTGGAGGAGGAAGGCAAGGACTAACCTTGTACAGATGGATCAGTGAATAGTATATTGCGCGCGTTGAACTTGGAGGTAGATGGAGATCTACGCGGACGGAGGAGAAGGCTATTAATAGCGTGTGGAGTGAGACGTATGGCAGTGTGACGGGAGAAGACGGAGATGAAGAGTTTTGTAGTCTTTAGTACTCCGTACTCCGTAGTGCTATCCCTTTTCGGGCAGGCAGGACGGAACCTCACGTTCCTCCCACAAACCACAAAACAGTTCAGCTGCTGCTCCCGAGAAACGACCAATGTCTCTGGCAGAGCGACGCAAGGCAGTTGGCCAGGTTCGGCTCCGGTCAACCCTGCCATTTGACCATGGGCACTAACAGCACGCGATAGCTCTTCGCAGTCGGCTTCCACGGGACTGAAACGAACGCGGAAATCAAGTCTCTCATCCAAGACTATGGCGTGGGCGCCGTCGTTCTCTTCAAACGCAACGTCCAGGCCGCCGCTCAGCTGCAGTCTCTCTGCCTGGGACTCCAGAGACTGGCCAGGGACGCCGGCCACACGCGGCCTCTCTTTGTCGGCATCGACCAGGAAAACGGTCTCGTGAGCCGGATTTCGCCTCCGGTTGCGCCACAGCTGCCCGGGCCCATGACGCTGGGCGCGACTGCGTCCTTGGACAGCGCGTACCGTGTTGCCAAGGCCACGGGCAACATGCTGAGATACTTTGGCATCAACATGAATTACGCCCCCGTCGGCGATGTCAACAGCGAGCCCCTGAATCCCGTCATCGGCGTGCGAAGCCCTGGCGACGATGCCGCCGGCGTTGCCCAGTTTGCCGTCGAGTGTGCGAGGGGCCTGCGGGAGACCGGAGTCGCGCCCTGCATCAAGCACTTTCCGGGCCACGGCGACACTGCTGTAGATTCGCACCACGGCCTGCCCGTCATTGACAAGACGAGAGAGGAGCTGGAGCAGGTCGAGCTGGTCCCCTTCCGCCGGGCGGCCGCAGAGGGCATCGAAATGGTCATGACGGCGCACATCTCGCTGCCCGGGCTGAGTGGTTCGCGTCTGCCGGCCACATTGTCCCCCGAGGTTATCGACATGTTGCGCCGCGACCTCGAGTTTGACGGCGTCATCATGACCGATTGCCTCGAGATGGACGGCGTTCGAGCGGGATACGGAACGGTCGAGGCCGCACTCATGGCCCTCAAGGCGGGAGTCGACAATGTCATGATTTGCCACACCTACGACGTGCAAACTGCTGCCATCGACCGCGTCTGCGACGCCGTCAGCTCCGGAGACCTGTCCCAGGCACGACTCGACCCATCGCTCGAGCGGCTACGGGTCCTGAAGGACAAGTACACAGACTGGGACGCGGCGCTGGGAGCTCAGCCGCCGTCGCACCTGGCCGACCTTAGCAGCGAGAACGAGGCCCTGGCCCGCGAGATCTACGCCAACGCCGCCACCGTCGTCCGCTCGGAAGCGCGCCTCTTGCCGTTGTCCAGAACCGCCAGCACACTCTTCGTCTCGCCGGGCCTCAAGGTTCCCACCAGCGGCGCGGCGGTGAGCGGCGAGGCCGGGGTGGGGAAGACCCGCGTCCCCTGGGTTTCCAGCTCCTTTGGCGACATCCTTCGCAGGTACAACCCCGACATCGCCGACATTCGCTTCACGGACGCTGCCCTGACGCCGGAGCAGTGGCGCCAGGTTGAGGACGCGCAGGTAGTCATTCTGGCCACGAGAAACGCGAGAGAGTCGCAGTATCAGAGGGACCTCGGGCTGCGGATTGCCAAGAGACGGGCCGGCAAGACGCTCATCGGCGTGGCTACATGTAGTCCATATGATTTCCTTGACGACGAGGCCGAGGTGAAGAATTTCATTGCCGTGTATGAACCTACGCCCGAAGCATTTGCGTCGGCAGCCGATATCCTTTACGGCGAGGCCGCGGCTAGGGGTAAATTGCCTATTTCTTGTTTGAAAAAGGGCTGAATAAATTTACATGAAGATATTGCCGATGCATCTTGTTGCCACGTGTAAACCGCCGGCAGCCCGCACCATCAACGGCAGCCGACATATATAGAGCCCCCTCCAGAGCAGCCCAGTCAAGAGTAAATCAAGGATAAATAACGAGTTCGAGGTGCTCTGGCCATCAGTCCACGCGAGATTCGGTAGGAGACGGCCTGAATCACCGCGTACTTGACAAAGCCGTCGCACTCAGGGTCCGTGGCAATGGAGGCGACCTACTCACAGGGACGGCTGTCGAGACGTTCATGTTGCTCTCGCCTGGCGCCAGTGCCATCCGACCAGGGGTGGGAGACAGCGAGATATAAATATGAGTCTCGCGGCCAAATGAACCGACTCGACTCGCCCGGTTCGACCAGGCTGGTTTGGCCGATACCGGGACCGTAATCCGCTGCCTTGTGCATGTTTTTGATACAATGTCGAGTCGAACAAAGGAACATTACAGCGTCGCACCACAGACAGTAGCTCAGACGTGTTGTTGCATGAGTGACAGGCCGCAGCGGATGATGTTGGGTCACGTGCCACGTCCAATCTCGTATGCGGCCCACTCGATGACCTCATTGGCGTGGGAGCTTCGAACCCCGAGCTCTGGCAACGTACGTTCTTCCTTCGTCCGACGGTCACGATGCGGATGGGCGATTAACCTGCCCGCCATCCCCCAGTGAATACTCACAGGGACAGCACACCGCTGTCCATGAACGCGGGGCCATGATATCTGGACGGAGTCTGGCCACGGCGACCAGGTATCCCGGCCTCGTGCTGTCAACCATCTCGCTCAGACAATCCCTTCCGGCCACCTTTGTGCGGCGGAAAGGCGGTCATGCTCTCCTTCGAAGACCTCTATGCCGTGCTTGGCAGAGTACGGTAGCTCCTCTCACGCCTCCGTCGACCCCGTTTCCGTCTTCGCCCGCGTCCGAGCCAGCTTCGTCGTCTTCTGCAAGCAGAGAGCAGGAGACGGGCCATTTCGATGTGAAGCCCAACGAGTCGCTCTTCTTCTTTGAGAGTAGGCACGCCGCATGGCCCTCTGCTTGCACACAATACGCTGACTGTACCTGCACAAGACGTCTTCCCCCGAAAGCTGAGCTTTCTTCTGAGATACCCCACGGAAACCGATGGTGACATGACGGCCCTGCTGCGCCGCTTCCACAGCCCGGCTGGCGGCGGCGGCTTTAGCCTGGACCCGATATCCTTTGTCAAGAGGGCCGTTCCCGGGGACCTACCTGTCAAGGTGACTGAGATTGTGCCGCGCCTGAAAGACGGAGGCGCATTTGTCAAAGTTCAACACGACGCGAGCACCAGCCCGTCAGACATCGAAGGTGAAAGACTACTGCTGCTGCTGCTGCTGCCTTGCTTGCAACACTCGGCCGATCTGGGGACCTTTGCTAACAAGCCTCGTCAATTTCTCAGCAAAACTCTTGGAGACGCTAGAGCGGCGTCCGCTGAAACCATGGTTCAGCCCCTTTCGGGGAGTCAAGGCCCGCCGTGTCAAGGGCACCCCGTGGCTCGAAGATCTGTACCGATTTCCCTCGAACCTGATCAAGGTCGAATTTGTGCCGCCCGAGCCTGGCGCGATGGCCGAAGAGTTGTCCGAGGAGACCCTGTACAGCATGTTCCGTCGCTATGGCAAGATTGCCGACATTGTTCCCCAGCCGTTTGATTCCAAGGTCGTGCCAAAGTACGCGCAGGTCAGCTTCGCCAGACTGAGCGACGCCATCATGGCCCGAAACTGCATGCACGGATTCGTCGTCGCCGAGCCCATGGGCGGAGGCAAGTCCGGGACTCTCCTCCGGCTGTCGTATGTCAAGAGGGTCAAGGCGCACAGCATCTGGAACTGGCTGACGAGCCACCCGCGCATCGTCATCCCCATCCTGGCCGCCCTGTTGGCCGGTGCTTCGGTCATGATTTTCGACCCCATTCGCGCCTTTTTCATCAAGCTCCACGTGTCGCACTCGCTGAGGTTCACCGAGTCGCGCCTGTACAAGTGGTTCAAGTCTCGGACAGGCAGCCTCTCTCGCAGGCGCAATGCGGACGGCTTGAACACGGTTTGGAACCACCGGCGGGACCTCATCGAGCAGCTCCGAAACTGGCTCGACGGCAGCTCCGACACGTTCATCGTCGTCACCGGCCCCCGGGGCTCGGGCAAGATCGAAATGGTCATGGACCAGGCCCTGGCCGGGCGCAAGAATGTCCTCCTGATGGACTGCAAGCCCATTGTGGACGCGAGCGGCGAGGCTGGCACCATCAAGCGACTAGCGTCTGCGGTTGGGTTCCGCCCCGTGTTCTCATGGGCAAACAGCATGAGCAGCCTGATCGACCTGGCCGTGCAGAGCACCACGGGCGTCAAGGCCGGCTTCTCCGAGACGCTCGACACCCAGGTCAGCAAGATCCTGCACACGACGGCCGCCGCGCTCAAGCAGATTGCGCTGTCGGCCCGGTCCAAGCACGACAAGGACGCGCAGCTGTCCGAGGACGCGTATCTCGAAGCCCACCCGGAGAAGCGACCCGTCGTTGTCATTGACAACTACCTGCACAAGAACGAGGGCATGACGATTGTCTACGACAAACTTGCCGACTGGGCCGCCTCCCTCGTCCAGAACAAGGTTGCCCACGTCATCTTCCTCACCTCGGACGCGTCCTCCTCCAAGCCGCTCTCCAGGGCAATGCCCGACCGCGTCTTCCGCACGCTGCCGCTCGGAGACCTGGACCGCGAGGTGGCCAAGAACCTGGTCGTCAGCAGGCTCGCGCAGGACGGCCCCCCGCGCGCAGAGCCATCCGGGCGCGGCGGCGGAGACGAGACGGCCAAGCGCATGGACCTGACGGGCCTGGACGAGTGCGTCGAGACGCTGGGCGGGCGTCTGACGGACCTGGAGTTCCTGTCGAGGCGCATCAGAGCCGGCCAGACGCCGCGCCAGGCCGTCGACGAAATCGTCAGCGAGACGGCCACCGACATTGTCAAGATGTTCCTCGTGGGGGGCAGGGCGGCCGGGCCGGACAGGAAGTGGTCGCCCGAGCAGGCGTGGCACCTCATCAAGTCGCTCGCCGACGCGCCCTCCCTGCGCTACCACCAGGTGCTCCTCTCGCCGGCCTTTGCCGCGTCGACGTCGAGCAGCGCCGCCGACGGCGAGGCCGCCCTCGAGGCCCTCGCCGGCGCGGAGCTCATCGCGCTCACGTCGCACCGGGGCCGGCCCAAGCTCATCAGCGCCGGCAAGCCCCTCCACCAGGCCGCCTTTGCCCTCCTCGTCGCCGACCGCGTGCTCAGGGCCAAGATGGACATGGCCGTCGTCAGCGAAATGGCCAAGGCCGAGGCCAAGACCATTGACGCCGTCGAGACGGAGCTCTCCGTCCTCGGACGGCTGCCGAGACAGACGCTCGAGACGGCAGGCAGGGTCACGTACCTGCTGAGCAAGCTCGACGCCAGCCAGCGCAGGATAGACGAGTTGGACAGGCAGATGGTTGGGCTGAAGAAGGTCCTGGCAGAGGAGTATTAGGTATTGGTGTAGCCCGAAATCCCCCGACACGCCGCTCTTTCGGTGTGTCTTTTCCTTGTCAGCAGCGCCAGACAGATTGGACGCCTCTCCCTCCTCTCTCTCCATCCCTCGTGTCAAAGACCGCATCAGTGTACGTTTTACATGAGCCAGTTCATCTCGTATTGTTTCTACTTGGGTTTTTCGTGGCGCCAGCGTGTGCGAATGGTGGTGCAAGGCACGTCCCTGTGGATGGTCAAGCAACGGACTCACGTCGACTCCCATCTTGTTGTATCCTGCATCTTGTATTTCACGGAGCAATCAGTGCCTATGAATTCCCGCCCCGACCGACGCCAGTCAATGCAATGCACGCACGCACGTATCCGACGCCAACGCGTCCGCTTGCCAGACGCAACACCCACGTCCGCTACTCCTCGGGCGGCGGCGCCACCTCGCACGCCTGGGCGAAGAATATCCGCGCGGGAACTTCGTAGTCGTTCACCAAGCTGTAGTAGTTGCCTGCAAGCACCAGTCAGACCAGGCCGGAACGGACGAGTCCCGGGAATAGAGACACTCACCCCGCGGCACGAACCACGTCCCGCCGGCCGATATGCGGAACTGCTCCCTGTTGATGGTGACGAGCACCTTTCCGTAGTGCACAAAGAAGACCATGTGCATCTTGCGCGAGTTCTTGGGCCGCTTCTCCGCGCCGGGGGCCAGGTCCACGACGCCGGCGCCTATAAAGGGCAGCGTGAGCGTCTTGGCGAAGCGGAACGTGGCCGAGGGTATGTCGCGCGTTTCGATGGCGTCCGCCGCGATGGCGAGCCGGTCCCGCGCGATCTGGACCTCGTCCGAGTCCATGGGCGGGTTGAACTCGTGCTCCGGCTCCCAGAGCACAATGTCGCCCGAGATCGTGCCCTCGTTCATCTCCCACTCCTCCAGCTCCTCGTCTTCCTGGACGCCCTCTCGGACCGCCGCCGACTTTGCCTTGGTCCGCGTCTTGCTCCTCGGTGCGCGCCGTGACGGCGGGGCGTCGTCGGGCATGCGCATGACCTGCCTGGTCGACGGGAGGAGGAAGTCGCCCGGTTCGACGCTGTCCGCGTCCTGCGCGCCCTCCGCCTCCGCCTCCCCGCCGCCGCGCACTACTCGCTCGCCTCGCCAGTACTCCAGCGGCCGGAACGACCGCCGTCCGGATCGCGTCTGCGTGTCCGACGCTTCGTTCCGGACCGACACCAGCCCTCTCGCCCTCGGCATCGGCGGGGCGCGCTGTATTTCCATAAAGGTCTCGTCGCCTTCGTCGTCGTCGTCTTCCTTTGCGGGTGCGGGTCGTCGCTCGCTTTTCCTGGGCCGGCCTCTTCCGCGCTTCACCGGTTTGACCTCTGTCTTGGGCATTGGTAGTTTGGGCTTTGGTATTGCCGGTGCTGTGGTTTCTCTGGATGCTGAAGGCGCTGGCCTTGGTGGTGGTGGTGGTGGCGGCATACTCGTGCGTGGCCGTTCCTCCTGCCTTTGCTCCTCCTCCCCTCGGTCCGCCGCCCTCTCGGATTCCTCTCCCTCTTCGACTATTTCCACCGACGCCCGTTTCTTCGTGCCGAAAATCGAGGGCACAGGCATGGGCGGAGGCTTTCGCTGGGCCTGTTGCATTGGCGACGGGTTCGCCGGTGACGGCCTGGCAGGCGTTGGCCGTGGCTCCTCTTCCACAAAGTCGTCACCTCCTCCCGCCAGCGGCAAATCGTCCTGCCCCTGGTCAAGCTCCGCTGCCGTAAAGTTGTCGCTGTGCATGGCGTTGACCAGCTGCATAGATTGCTCCACCATGTCTGACATTGTCGGGTCGTTCTGGCTTCCCGGTGCTGGGTCCGCGGGTGGATTTGCACCGTGGTCTTCCGTGTGAGGGGGAGACGGCCTCGACGTGTCCAGCCCGTCGGCAAAAGCCTTGGCAGTCGACGATCTCGGCGGTTTGTTGGAGTGGGCAGCAAAGTCAATCTTCCGCGTGACCGTGTTGTCGTCGAGCAAGGTGCTGCGCGAGGGCGACGAGGGGTACTCCAAACGGGGGTTCCTCTTGGCGGGAGAGCGCAGCCCCGTTTTCACGGGGGACTTGCCTTTCGGAATGGGATACGTGATGCTGTGTCGGTTCTTGAGCAGTGTCTGGGGACCTGGGCCATTGCCTGTCCATGCATCAGCGACCACGACTCGGCGCATGTGCTTGTTGGTGGGTGTGCCTACTGGATGCGATGCTCATGTCGGCGCCTTCAGAGCCGTCTGAGGCATCGTCGCCGGCAAAAGCAGGCTTCGCCTCGTGGGGGGAGAAGATGGAGTCGATGGGCTGCATGCCATGTTCGTCGCGCTCGCCGCGGTCTTGCAGCGTGATGCCGGTTTTCCTGATGTCTGGACTTAGTTGAGAAGCACGCGAGGCAGACTTCTACGAGGTGCTTCCCCCGTGCGTGACGTACCGGCCCTGCTTTCCGAGCTGGTGAAAGGCCTGCGGCTCAATCCGCGGACGTTTGACGCTCCGCGCCATGGCAGGGGGAGGGGGTGAGCGTGGAAGCCAGTGCGGTTATGTGATTGCCTCTTGCTTCTTGCTCGCAAACAATAAAGAGGTGTCTAGAATCCGACGCAAGAGAACCATCGGCTTCGCGTAGCGCCAGGTCAGCAGGGCATTTGGTGGCGATGACGATGGTTGGTGTTGAGTCGTAGATTTGGCGACGCGGTCAACGTGTTGACGTGAGTGGTCGGATGCAGCATGACGGAGTGCCGTCAGGTGTACCTATGTACTTACTTGGCAGGTACTTTTTCCACACCAACCCGCGGTATGCCGTGGCGTGTACTGCCTGCGTAGTGTGCGGACTAGCCCCGACATCCGCCCCCGCCCTTTATCCGACAACCGACATAAATATGTGATGGATATAATCTGCGAGAGTCTCGTGAAATAAACGACGATATAATTTGTCCTGTCCCATCTACCCAATCGAGAGTCTCGCAACAAACGGCCATGTAATCTGTCCTGTTTTGCTCTATTTGCCCCATCGAGAGTCTCGAAATAAATGCCCCAAAATAACCACCCAAATGCCTCCCAATACCCCATCGCCAGCGCACCACAGCCGCAAGCACGTCGAGGCGGTGATGAAGACACGACTCACGAGACACTAGTCAGGCCGTAGGTGCCCAGCAGAGGCCACGCGGCCGAGCTACTCCGCGCTGCTGGACTGTGGCCGACTGTGCCCCGTCGGCTTGTTCGTGACGGAGCGCGTACCGAGCTTCCTACAATGTCGGTTCTGTCGAGCAACACCACCGCGGCCGTCAGGATGTTCTTTTAGGGACGGGCCGCAGCAGTTGCAACTACGACATTGGCGTGCACGTCAATATTCGCAGGGAACCAACATCATGGCGGGTGCATGCAGCCATAAAGACGGGGGGCATTCGGCGGAACCGCTCGCCAGATAAATCGTGACCTTCGGATTACTGCCACTACACCATACACATGTTCATATGCGTGCAAAAGGATGCTCTGTACACATGCGTGCAACCCCACCAAGTCTATACCTACTAGGTATGTATCCAATGCAATTACCACTGTGATGCTCGGCCGCAACCAATTCATGACTTCATGCCAATCTTTTCTTCTTCTTCTTAACCACCCATCAACGATGACCGGGCGAGGGACCCCGCGATGGTTTATGCGCCGAACCGCCTGCGCTGCGAGACGCAGTTAGGCGCAGTCTCTCCTCTCCTTCCGAGAGACGAGGCTCGTGGCTGCGACCGACGCTGTAGAAGCGCTGCGGGATGCCAGTCTGGGCTTCTTCGTCAAACGTCCCCAGCCGAGCGCCTTGCGCGGGGTGCGTCCCATGCGTCTCCGTGGGACTCAGTGTCTGGAGTCCCTCGCCGGCTTTTCGACGCCCACGCTGGCTCTCCTTCTTGAGGAGCTCGCTGCGGACCGTCTCGATTTCCTTGACACGCTGGCGGTCTTCGGACGGCGACCGGGGCGATCGGAGCGAGACGGATCGGTCGTCACGGACGTCTCCCCAGTTCCCCGAGGTTTCCACGGCCAACGACCGGGCATTGAGTTCCGCCGCGGCGTGCTCCTCAGCCGCACGTTTGTCGGCTTCTGTCTCGCCAGGTCCGAGAGGGGCTATGCGTGCGGCGTCCTTCTCCTGGGCCGCAGCGTCACGGCTCTTGGAAGCCCACTCGTCCGTCACGGCAACCGAATAAGTTGGGTTGGCGGGCCCACCCAGAGGCTCCGCGCCGCCCCCGGGGCCGTAGATGGGGACCTTCTTGAGAGCGAGAGCCAAGGCGCACATGAACTTGGAGCGACGCGTGGCCCGGATGATGCCATTGTGCCAGTTGGACTTGTGCTGGATGGAGATTTCCAGAGTGAGCTTGTCGAGGTCGCCGACGCCCGCGACGCCAATAATGAAATCCGGCTTAAAGTCACGAGAGTTGTCGGGGTGCCTGACGAACTTTTCCATCTCGGCCCGGAGCAGCTCAATGTCTTCAAACGACGTGTCATACGACACGTCAACCTTGAAGGATTCCGTCATGGCCTTGCTGCGGGTGACATTGTCGATCCAAAGATTATTCAGCACAATGTTTGGTACCTTTTTTTTTTCCGGCACCAGTCAGTTGATACATGCTGCACCCATGCGCGAGAGGAGAGAAGACCCAAAAAAACAACTTTGGTTGTGTGTGTGGCGACTTACCTGGGTAACCTGGTTCTGAGCAGTCTTGGTGAAGACAGTGTACAGCAGAGAGATCCTCTCAACCAGCATCTGCGTACCACCGACTTCGATGCGGTCGCCCACGTCGTACGGATGCTTGACGAAGAGGAAGATGCAAGAACCGAGAAACTCCTGCGTGGTCACGGCAAAGACAAAGGACAATGAAAGGAGCGCAGTGCCGGCCGTGGCAATGGTGGCGACGATGCTGCTGCGGAAAAAGGCAACTTTCAAAAAATGTTAGCCGACGAAGCTGTTCCTCTTCCCGCGCCGCCGAGTGGGCGCCATTTTGGCCAGCAATTGACTTACGAAAAATGAAAATGGTAATCAACAGGACCACAAACATCAAGACCTTATCAAAGACTCTGAGGGCCTGCCCGATATCCTTCATGCCTTCGCCAATGGCCTTGCGCTCCGTGCCCATCTCGACCGTCTTGCGCACCATCTCGTCGAGGCTGATGTCCCCGTTCGAGTCTGAATCTATCATATTGAAGGCCTCCTCGGCGTCTTGCTTGTACGCAGGGCCCAGAACCTCCTCGAAATCTTCCAGGTACAGGGTGTCCTTGCCCTCGAGGACAAACGACATCCAGATGCGTCGTCCCAGGGCCTCGGACGGGAGCCTCTTCTCGAGGGCCTCGAGGACAATGGAGTGGGCCGAGTTGGGGTTGAAGACTTGCTTTCCGGTAATCTCCTTGGCCACGTGGCCAACCACAGAGGTGACCTTGTCTCCGAACCGGCCAACGTCGCCGATAATCTTCATAGGTGTGGCGGCGCCGTTGCCCCCGATGATCTTGCCCTTTTTCCCGCGCAACATCATCTCGATACTATCGTTGATGATGTAGTCTTCCTCTGCAAATTCTTGGCAGTACATGGGGAAAAGCGCTCGCGAGGCATCATACAGGAGGCCGAGAAGGTGGATCTCTCGCTTGGAGGCCTTGATGCGGTTGGCAAAGGAACGCTGGTGGTAGGAGACGCCGATGAGCTGGACGAGAGCCTTTTCCGCCAAGAGCACGGCCAAAGACACAAACAGGGCTCCGAGGACTCGCTCCATGTTGACGACCCAGACGAGGTTTTTGACCAAGGCGTCGTTGAAGAGGCCTTTGAAGGAGAGCCAGGCCGCAAGGGCCCAGAAGAAGAGCGACAGGGTGATGCTCATGTTCTTCAAGACGGTGGCGTACTTTCGAACGCCCATGCTGACGATGCCGCAGAAGAACATGAAGAGCTTGGGGAGGACCCAAGCGGCGATTTTGGACAGCCATAGGGTACACCAGGTGATGAGAATCCAAAGGAAGAGGTAGAAGAGGGTAGGGCCGTCTCTGCCGCCAACAAAGGTGCCGTCGCCAACCTTGGTGAAATGGAAGACCACAACAGGCACCGCCAGGATGATGCCCACGGGGACAATGTAGACCATGTAACGAGTTATGACAGAGAAGCCGACTATCTTGGCGTAGAATCTACCCAGAGCATTGACGCTAATCTCGTCGGAGCTGTCGGTGCCTCTGCGGCTCAGCTTGTCGCTGCCCATTCTCCGCCGGCGTCCCGCATGCCGCTTATGCAGCACGCCTTCGGACTTTTCGAAGCCATTGTCCGCCGAGGACTCATACGACGTCGTGTTTCCAGGGTTGGGTTTGCGGGCCCCGGTGGTAGAGGCATTGCTCCTGACTGTGGTCAGGGGAATGCCAATGTTGTTCATTTCGGTTCGCGATCGATTTCCCAAAGGAAGGAAGCCCGAATTTCGCGATGCAAGAGACGTGTGCCTGCTGGGCATGACAAGAAAAAAAGGCAGAGGCAGAACAAGTCTCGGAGGGTCTCAGCCTCCTCCACGAAGAGATGTTGGTGGCGTTGATTGTTTCCAAGAGCAGAGGTGAAACGGCTTGTGCTTGTTACGGGTCAATGGTGGCGGGGGCTTGGTGTTCTTCAAGGGCCGTTGGTTGTAGATGCAATACGGAGTATGTCGACGCAAAATACTAGTTGTATATGTAACACGTATGAGCAGAGGTCAGGGGATCTGCCGCCTTCGCAATCCTTGTGACGAGCATTGGCTGGTGAAAAACGAGGGATAGACAGGTGGCACAGCAGCAAAGCTGGATGATGTCTCTCAGTGGTTGGCCATGCAATGCAATTGTAATACTGAAGGCCTGCTTCAGATTGGATCGAGGGCGTGCTGGTCGAGGCTCAGGCGCAGAAGGAAAATCTCGACAGCCGATCGATTGTGTGGTAGGTCGTGTGTCGTCTGGTAAAACGTTGCTCAACAAAGGACGGGTTCTAGGAAAAGCACGACGAGACACCAAGGCAAAGGGAAAAAGGATGATGGCGAATAAAGGAGAGACGGGCAAATAAAAGAATTGAGCCAAAGAGCAAAGAAAGTGGAGTGATGAAGAGAGGACAAAAACAAATAAAAAAAAAGACAGAAACGACGGAGATGCCAGGGGAAGGCAAGGCAAGGCAAGGCAAGGCAAGGAAGAGGAAACGAAACGAAGGCGTGGATGCGCGTGCAATGTGCGATGTTCAAGGTGCAGCGTACGGAGTACTGAAGACCTGACCAGGGCCGCTTGGCGAGTGCCAGATGTGGAGTATTGAATACTCCGCCCATGCTCGGTACGAAGTATAGAGTACTCCTTCGCACGGAGCACCCCGTACGGAGTACATGGCTCCTCTTTGTTCTCTGCTCTGCGTGTAACTTGACTCGTTTCTTTGTCCAACCACACTGCGCACTGGATACGACGGGGGCCGGAGTACTCCGTACATTCTAGGTATTTGCTCAAGTATCACCACTCAAGTAATCACCTAAGTAAGTACTTACTTCAGTAGGCAGGTACTCAGGACATGTCAATCCCTCGCTGGCAACGGTGTTGAACATGGCACTGCCCCACGGCTTTGCAGTCGGTCAGTGCCCTCTGTCTGCTGTGCCATGGAGCGGCCAATATTCATCTCAAGTAGAGGAGGGTGACCACTGACGGGACTGGACGCAGAACTGTGCCCTTCCGACGGTCCAGGCCCTGACCGTCCCGGCGCCACAGGTGCCACAGGGGGCCACCGGGGGGACAGCCTTCTGAGCTCTCTGGCGCTCAAAGTAAGTACACAGTACAGAGCAAAGTGCGCGTCTGGGCATCATCCAGGGCATGTGGGCGCTGGTCCAAGCTGCCACCATCACCAGTGTTTCCGGCGCCGCTGATTGGCTCCTGGTCGGATATTCAAGGCACGCCGCAGGTGGCGGGCCAAGGGCATGAAAAACAGTCATTTGCCAGGCATGAAAAACAGTCGTCAACTGCTCGCAGGGGCGGACGAGAAGTAGATACACAAGTGAATAGATTCACGGTCTGAATAGGTTGCTGTTGGTGGTTTTGGATCACCCCGATCCGTCCGGCGACGTTGGCCGTTGGCTGTTGGCCGTTGGGCCGTTGGCGGTGCCCGAACCTCAGTTTGGCAACGGCAGTGGCAGTGGCGATTTGGACCTGCAGGAGTGGCAGCTAGTGCTCATGCTAACCATGCAAGTACTGAGTACCTACCTAGGTAAGTAGTGGGTACACGTCTGTTGTGCTCCGTGCTACTCCGTGCTACGCCAAGTCCCTGCTGTCAACGACATGTCATCCCACATGTGCAGCTCTAATCATAGCATCATAAAGCACTCACTCAGCCGACCTGCAGACGCCGCATCAGACACCGAATAACGGGCCGCACCGGCAAGCAAGAAATCGAAAGAAAGAACAACAAGATCAATTGCTTCACCGCGTCGCCAAAGATGCACGCCGTCCTGGTTTTCCTCTCTCATCTTTTTTTTTTTTTCAGCCACCACCGCAAATTGCAACAGCCAGCCCCGCCCACCGCCTCACACAAGCATGCACCCTGGGACCTGGACAGTGGCCCGCGTCAATGTAGCATTCATCTTTGAACCCGAGTCGCGCCCACCTAGTAATTTTCCGACGTTTGACGCAGACGTTCCGTTCCGTACCGACGTACCCTTTCATCATCCATTCATGGGCCATAAGCCCCAGCCTGGCGGGACGAACGCTTGACTTGCACCGGAAAAAAAAAAGGAAAAAGAAAAGAGCTTGAAACTGCCCGCGCCCGGTCCCGTTTTTCTCTTGCGCCCTAGACAAGCCTCCTATTCCACACGACGACATGGACCAACCACCAGGCCATCGTACGTTGTACTCCCGTATAATATACGTAAAAAACCGCAACTCCAAGACGACCCACCGCCCAGGTGGAATTTGACGTCGACTGGTCCCCAGCTGAGACAAAGAGTGTGTCGCTAACGCTTTTATGCCACCAATCGAACACCAGGGAAAAGTAGTCAGCCACCTTGTCCTCCGTAGGTGGGACCAAAACAAGTAGATCAAAATAGAATAAAACATCCATGTTCGCTAAACCGCTCATCCAATCCAGCATCCGATATCCAATATCCAATAGGTCAAGTCGGGGTAATCATGTCGAATGGGTATCGCCGCGAGCGCCTAACCTTGGTACAAGCACCAGCACAACCAAAAGAAAACGCAGTCATCGTCGTCAACACCAGCTCAGATTGGTGCAAAACCAACGCCTTTGCCATTGAGGGCCGCAGGTCGGCCTTCATCTGCTGCTGCTTCGGCGGATCGAGCCTGCCGTCGCACTCATGTTTGTCGAATATCCTGCGACGTCCTTCATTTCAACTCTGGCCTTGTCGGTTTCAAATGCCGTGTCGCTGCCGTCGTAGCCGTCTTCTTCGTCTTCCTCCTGGTGTTCTGCGACGTCCAGCGTATAAAGCGGTTTCAGGGCCGCATTCCTTTGGAACAGAACCCATCGCTTGATCCACCAGGGAAGCGCCTCGGTGAGTTGATAGCGCATAAACACTCGTGAAGGCACGGCGAAAATGTAATCCAGCTCCTCCAACGTTCGTTGCTTCGTTTCAGGGACAAACAGAAATATCATCACCAGAGCCGCAATGTTGAGGGCCGAGTAGAACCCAAACGTCCCCACAACGCCCATTCGGTCGAGCATGAGAGGGAATGTTATGGAAAGAACTGCTGCCCAAAACAGGTTCGTTGCCACCGCCCAGGCCATGCCGACCTCACGATGAGACAGGGGAAACACCTCGGCCGAGTAGGTGAAGGGAACAGGGCCTTCGCCGGGCGAGTAGAATGCCGCAAACAAGTACACAAAGAGAGCTACCAAGCCCATGTGCAAGCCGTACATTCCCGGGATCAGATTGCATAGCCCGGCAGCGAGCAACGTCCACGCCATTTGGGGAAAGGTAAACAGCAAGAGGGACCGGCGCCCAAACGTGTCAATGGTCCAAATAGCTGGAAAGGCAAATAAAAAGTTGATCAGGCCAAACCCCCAAGTGGCCAGCAGAGCTTGAAATTGACTTGCCCCAGCCGAGGTGAAAACGTCGGCCGAATAAAAGGCAATAATGTTGACACCGCACATTTGCTGCGCAATCATGACAACAAAGGACGCCAGGGTAGCTCGACGGATTCGCGGGATCTTGAAGAGGTCGGCGAATCGATTCAAGTAGTCGCCGTGTCCGATGAATTGGTGTTCCACCTGAAGCTGGACGTGAATGTAATACAAATCTCGCGCCGCTTGAATAGGCGTGTTCCGCAGCCGCATGAGCGATCTCATGGCGTCCTTGTATCGACCCTTCTTGATGTACCAACGGGGGGATTCGGGACAAAAATAGATGAGGAGCGCGAGCGGAACAGCCGGAATGAAGGCAGAGCCCAGTTGCAACCGCCATGCATCCGCAGTTACTTGTCTGACGGCTAGGTTTGCACAGGTTCCCAGGAATATCCCAAAAGCCGTCCACAGCTGCCAGCTCATGACCAACGCGCCACGAATAGGAGCGGGCGAGTTTTCGGCGGCGTAGATGGGCACTGCCGCACATCCCCGTCAGCGAATCTTTGCGCGCCGCGATCGACGTCCTCAACGTTGCCGGAACTCACCCGTGGAAGCTTTCGTCCCCATGCCGACGCCCAGAAGCAATCGGCAGCCAAGCAGCTGCTGCCAGGTGTTGCAAAAGGCACTGGCGAGAACTGGCCAGAGGCAAAAGTTGGCGGCGACAAAAATAGTGCCACGACGACCAAAGTGGGAGTTGATGGGATCCGAGAGCCAGCACCCGGCTAGAGCGGTGCCGATGTAGGGCGCAGCATTGACGAGACCAACAATCATCTTGTCATGGACGCTGGGGCTCCCTATGCCGAATACATGGGGGAAAATGAGATTTGCGCCGTTGGAGCCAGTCTGGTCCCATCCCTGAACGGCGGCGCCGATTGAGCAGGTGATGATGGTGAGATAGAGGACTTTTGGGATCCGCCACTTGTGAAGGACTTCGGCGCGGAGAGACTCGATCTCTCCTTGACTGAGGGCTTGCGGCCCGGTGATGTCTTCGTACCCGGTGGGATCTTGTGCTACAAGCGCACCCCGTCGAATCAAGTCGCGGTGGTCACCCAGATCCTTTTCGCGGCAGAAATTGTCGACGTTATGGAGGAGGACTCGCCGAGGAATCCCCACCGACGGGTTCTTGATTCTATGGATGCATGGTTAGAAAATACTAGTTACACAAGGGTTGTCTTGGGCAGCACGCAGTCGTCGTACTTTGCTTCGATGTTCGAGTTGAAGTTGACGAACGGCGCAGACCCGGATCGTGAATGAAGGCCGGCTTCGGTCGAGGAGGCTGCGTTGATTGAAATACTACATGTGAATTAGCGAAACGGAGGCCCAGTCGCGTAGCATTGCCTGTCAACGCAGGGCACAGCTGCTGGAATGTGAGGATAGTCGATGGGTCACATCATTGTGCCATCTGAAACTGCGAAGCCCATGTCGCACATCAGAGTCTGAGACTCGGACCTTGATGCCATGTCCGGGTGACAACTTTTGCCGACAGCAAAGTCCGATCCCGAAATTGCACTCTACATTCAACGGCGAATTTTTGCAACGTACTTTGAGACCTCCTCGACCCTGTCAAAGTGCTCCATCACGGACAACTACTCCGTACTACTAGTTACTACTGCAGCAGCAGCAGCAGCAGCGGCGGCAGCCGCGGCCGCTGTTGCTGGCACGCAAAGCGAAATCTGGGGAAGTTGGCCCCGTAATGGTTGCGGCGATGGTGGGGACCTGGGGTTGAGGGTTCAACGGGTTCAACGTTCAACGGTTCAACGGGTTCAACGTGGTAGCCCAGAGTGGTCCCCCAAAGTATGCGTCACTTGACAGTGATGGCGATGGTCGGGCCCTTGCGAGCACGTCTGGTGTACCCCGTAGATGGATGGGATCGGTGGTCGCCTGTCAGCGGCCGATTGGCCTTGGATGCGCAAATGTCTGGAAACCCGCGAATGCCGTGGTGTCGCTCCAGTGCTCATGAGAGAAAAGAAAAGAATCAAGTTTGGGAGAATGGAGTCTGGTCAGCAACGACTCGGTACAAGAGCGAGGACGAGAATTAAAGGCTTGGCCCGACTGCCCACTCCGTCTGCAGTCCACTCGCTCAGCTGGATCTCGGCTGGGGGCCGGAGGAAACAAGGAAAGGGTCGACTCGTTCGTTTAAGCCCTGGTGCAGCTGTGGGTGCAGCTGTGTGTGCAGATGTGTGTGCAGGGGAGGACCTGGAAGTATAACTACCAGACGCAAGTTCGAAGAAGCATCCCATAAAGAGACGACGTTGTTTTTGTGGTAACGATACTGCACCAGACGACCGCAAAGAGACGGCGCTTGGCCCGTCAGCCTGAGAATTAGACACACCAGGCCTTTACGCGACAAGGTAATAATACTAGTACTCGGCAGTATCGACAGCACTCAATAGAACGCGCAGACTGCGAAATGGTATTGTGCGGGCGCGTGCGGGCGTGTGTGGGCGCCAAAGTGCCTGAAGCTGAGATGGGAATCGACTCGAGGTGTCATTACTAATGTTGCCTACCTGCTCCGTGCGCAAGGCAATGAATGGCAAGAAGCCCCCGTCAGCTGGTTCCTTCCTTCCCACTCATGCTCAGCCGCCAACGTGGAGAGAGTCGACGCAATCCAACGACATTGGCGTGATTTGCCATTCGGCACAGCATCCGAGGTGTGTCCGTTTTTATGCACAACAAGACGGGGTCTGCTCAAACAATAGCACCCGAGACATGCGGCGTCTGCATCTTGGTCCAGCGGGCAGTGTCAATGGTCGCGGACCGATCGGACGGACGGACAGACAGACCTGCGTCGCGCCGAGACAAAAAAGCGACCAGCAAGTTGCAACACGGCAAGCAACCTTGGAGCCTGGGCCGTCGCAGCCAAGACACGAAATGGCCTCGCCCAACTTGCTCAAATTATGGTCCTCGATTCTCGATTCTCGATTCTCGATTCTCAAGCTCCTTCCTCCCCGTCATGTCACGCTCGCTTACCAGCCTCGTCAAGATTTCGAAACCGGGAAAGGCGGGCGATGCGGCTGGCATACAGGGCAAGCCGTTTTGGCTTTTGCCGCAAAGACTGCCGCCGCCAAGACGCGGCCAAGAAGAGCTGCAAACGGGGACGGGTGCTGGGACGGGTGCTGAGTCGTGACAGCGGCATCAGATGAGTCCCCCAGTCACAGATCTTGAACGAGCCACACCCCACACCATCGAGCAGACACACCATATCTGCTGACAGGCGGGGCGGCGCAGACGTAAACTGTAGTCATCTGCCTGCTCCGGAATCCGGACATGCCGAGTGCCGACGAGTCAGGCGCCCAGGCAACCAACTACGTAGTATCATGCACCCGTCGCGCGGCTTCAAAAGCCAAGACGCTACGTAGCAGCCGGCTCTGTTCCTGACTGCCATGTGGACTGAGCCCCGATGTCTCCCCAATATGCGTCGGAATCCCCTCTCGTGCATGAGCCCGTGCGTGTGTGCCATCCGATCCGTTTGTCTTGGCGCACGCGAGACGCTACTCGTGCACCAAACTGAAGCGCAAGGCCTAATCTGACGACCCATGTTTGATCACAGTCCGCCAGGGCGACACAGCCTGTACCGTTGGAATCAAGCTCTTCTTGCCACCAGGCGTGTCTCCCCAGGTTGCCCCGTACCGGCTTTGCAGGGACGGCGGCCGACTCCAATATCCCAGCTAGAGAGAGACAAGGTAGTCGGTTCCTCGGGGAGCAAAGCACGTCCTTCGTGCAGGCACGTCACTGCGGATGTACTTGGATCTCCGTGACCAATTGTTCCAGATGTATACTGCATGTAACGCCTCGCTGATATCCCTACCGTTATCTAATGTACAAATTCCGCCTTGGTCCTCGCCACCCCCGCCTCGTCAATCGATGCCTCATCTACAGAGGTCACCGGCGGCCATGGTCATATATGCACCACTCTGCGTCCTGTGCCAACAAAGGACAAATAGTAGAGCAGCGGTGTCGCCCTTGGGGGAATTGATCAAACGCACCGAGTCCGTCAAACACCTGGATGAGGTCCAAGACGGGGAAAATTGAAATTTCAAATAGTAGCGCGCCAGTCCGCACCTGTCAAGGCCCATGTCACATAAAGTCCCGCCCCAGAGCCTTGGTCACCTTGTCCCTCAAATCAGCCAGGACCCTATCTCGACTCTCCAGCTCGGCCGTCAGGGCCTCGTACTTCTTCTGCCAGTACTCCCTTGTGAACTCGCCCTCAGGCTCCTGGTCCTCGTCCTCGTCCCTGGTCGACGGATGCTTCGTCTTGGCCCACATGCTTGCCGGCACCACCTGCTCAAACGTGAAGCCGCCTTTGACGTGGCCGAAGCGATACTCCCATTCGCACTTGTACCGGAACTGGCCGTCAATCTCGCTCAGGCGCGTGCATTTTGGTCTGGTCGTGACGAGCGTCGTAGACCCCGCGAGCGCGGCCAGGTTGATGAGAAAGGCCTGCGGCGAAGTGGCGGTTTTGTACATGGTTTGGAGCATTGCGTGGACCATGGCGGCGGATTCTTCCAGCGAGACGCTCTTTGCTGGGTTTCCGTCGACGTCTCGCCAGTCGGCTTCCGTCATGGAGCGCGTAAAGTATGCTGTTAGCACGTCGACGTTTGTCCGGTCGTCCATCCTGTCAAAGTAGTAGTCGGGCAAGTCTGAGTCCTTTTCAGAGTCCTTGTCCTTGTCCTTGGCCTTGTCCCTGTCCCTGTCCCTGTCCCTGTCCTTGTCCTTGGCCTTGTCCTTGTCTCCAAAGTTACCTGGGCTGGCCGCGCCGTGGCTCTGGGGGGGCAGTTCGTAGGCATCGGCCGCTTCCCTTGCGAATTTGCGCCAGCCATCCTGGTACTTGCTGTCGTCGCCAGGGACTTGGCCACTGGGCTCGACGCCGTTGACTTGGACTTGTGCAGGTGATGCTGCGGGCTCCGCCCGTGGCGCTGGCGCTGGTACTGGTACTGATGCCGGGACTGACACTGGTGCTGGCGCGGGAGGTGTAGCCAAGCGCACGCTTCCACTGGCTCGTTCGGGAAGCTGTAATGAGATGCTAGGTCGAGATGGTCTTGGCGTGCCTTCGTACGGTGCGTGCTGGCCACCCTGCCCAGTGGACATGGCTCCGTTCTGGTTTCCAGGAAACTGGTGGTGATATTGCTGCGCCGGTGGCTGCGGCTGCGGCTGCGGCTGCGGCTGTTCTGTATGTGCCGGTGGGTTTGGCCTGGGATAGTATGGATTTCCCGGCGGAGTGGTCTCATTAGTTGGCGTCCAGCCATGCGCCAGATATTGGCCGGGCGCATCGGCAGGCGTCCGGATGATGGGGGGCCGACCTCTTGGCCGGGTGGCCGGGTCTTGACCGACCGTTTTCCACGCCGAAGACACGTTTTTGGCGCCTCTGCGATGACTAGACACCTTTGTCTTGCTTTGAGCCACTGCCAATTGAGGCTCAAGAGCATCATCCCAAAAGGAGCCCCTGGTCGTGGGTGTGACTGCGGATTGCGGCCAGCGCCCGACGTGGGATTGTAATGACTCGTTCTGTCCCCACGCAGCCGGATTCTGCGTTCTCGGGGCGTCCAACGGTGTGCCTCCGTGGGCATCCGGATGAGCCGACCAAGGCCCTGGCTGTCCCTGACGATAGTCGTCTGCCGCAGAGGCCGGTGACAGCCGCTGTCGCTGGGGGTGTGGCTGCACAACATCGTCTGCCTCTGGTCTCTTGCGGCCTCTCTTGGGTCGTATATGGGGCAGCAAAGCCCTCAGCGCCATGTCATCCTCAAGGGCAACGCCGTCACGAACGGCACTGCCAGTAGGGTTATGGTCCGTGGGAACCCTCATCCAGTAGTCATTGGGTATGTTCATGAGATACTCAAAGAATGCCTTGACATGCATCGAGTTCATCCATTTCTAGAGTCAGAGTCAGCCTCACAGAAGACTCAGATATATATGTGAAGGGAGGGAAGGGGGAAAAAGACCTTTAGTCGAACACCATATTGTGCAACCTTTTGCGCACTCTCGTCTTTGGTTGGATCAGGCGGCTCAACGCCAAGGGTCGTCGTCAACTCAGTCCAAGTCTTAATCTCCTTGTTGTAAAACTTCTTGACGAGTTCGTATATGGTAAATGTATCGAAGGACTTGCCACCGCTGCGCGGAGGGGAGCGGAAGGCATCTCTCAGACTGTCCGTGTCGCAGTCGAGCTGGAGAGCAGGGTTGCAGTAAAAGATGAAGCGCACATAGGCTTCCTCTATAGAAGCAGGGTTTACGTCTCTGTCCGGCAGGGTGGGCCGAACGACAAACCCATGCGGTGATGGCATAGCCTCCCCAACATGCTTGACTCCATTGCTGTGACGTTGTTGCTCCATGCCTGGGGCCTGACTACGCCGCCAGCATCGGTTTGCGTTCTCTGTCGTTCACTCTCCCTCTCCTCCTTCACCCCACCTCTTCGCTCTCTCTTTTTCTCTTGTTTGGTCCTCTCCTCCGTCTGTTTCCTTGTACCTCTCCTCTTTCCAACACGTCTCTCCCTCCCCTCCCCGGCGCCTGAAGAGGGGCGGGGGGGGGCGCGAGTTGCTCGGACGGTTGTGTTTCTTGCTGTCTGCCCCTGTTGACTGACGCAAGTGCTGCTCGGTAGTTGCTCCGTACTAATGCTGGTTGCTCGGGATTCTGGATGTGGGCGATCAAACGTCTGGGCCTGGTCGCTGCAGAGTGGAGACGGCGGCGGCGAGGAGGACGGCTGACGAGGGCGGTTCAGACGCTATTTCCGCGCGGCCCATTCGTTCGTGGCCCCAGATACGGAGTAAAGGGGCCAAAATTACGAGTCGGAACAGGAGCGTAGGAGTCGCGCAATTGGTTCCTGGTGCGGCAGGTCTTTCCGATCGGAGTCAGTGCAATAACCAGGCAATGGTTTGATCCTGGATAAAATGGCCGCCTTTCGCCTCGCATGTGGAAGATGGAGGTTGTAATTAGGTCAGTGTGGCTGGTAGAAATTGGGCAAAATAGGGGGTCGACGGGGGCGGGCACTGGGTGGACTGGTGGGTATGGAGTGGAGCATCACAGTGTTGGATTCGGAATCGGCACGGGGATTATGACCCCGCTCGCAAGCTTGACGTCGGCTCCACCCCGGCAATTTGCGGGGAAGGCACGCACCCGCCGAGGTTGGGCGCAGGCGACAAGGCGGCACGTGACGGCTCTGTTAACTTATATTATATTCATGGTAGTTATATTGCGCGTCTCTGCATGTCGCTGAAAAACTATTTGACGACTACATTTGTGACGGGATGGTGGTCACTCTGTCGTTAGAGCTACTTGCTGAGATACGCCAGCTGGGCCATTGCCCGGCCGCCAGCAGATGGTGTCAGGATGTTTGCGACAACGCTTGATGACTTTGTGTGAAGAATATCAGACTTGGCCGCAGGCCTTCTACATCAGGTAGATCTAAATCTCGGTTTGCTTTAGTACCATGTTCCACTTCAAGATTATGTTTTGATCTTTGCTCTGCTGAGTTGCTCGAGCGTCGTGTAATTTTACTCGGAGGATTCTGTGTGATCATGTGTATCATGTGTTATGGGCGTTTACCAGTTACGGAAAAATAATGCTTCTATGGAATGTTACAGTTCAGTCTTTTTCCATTCATTTGTTTTGTCGCCTACGTATGATTTGCCAAGTGACAGGGACCTTGTGTGAAGCATAGGCTGAATCGGCAAGTTGCCGATGATGCTTGTGAGATACAGTGTGATATCTCACACAACCATTCAATCAGAGCTGTATGGCCATGGTAAACGTTGAAGTATATGGTCAGGTTACACACACAAGCAAATCCTTGTATATATAGCCCTCGTTGGTCGGGGCCGTCAGATTAAGGAGCCAAGACTCTGAACCTGCCACCGCCAAGAGCCAAGAAGGCATACTTACACACTTATGAGTTGTGTATCAGGGATACTTAGCCAAGCGCCTCTACTTCTTGATCCGTTTGCGCTGCCGTTTAGTGCTCAGACCGGATGACTACACTAGCAGAAACGCTTAGATGGAAGCACAAAACAAGTCGAGTTTGTTAATTCACTTGCGTAGTTAGCGTTTACGGACAAGAAAATTCATCGCCATTGAAAGAAACAACAACACAAGTTTACATATTTAATACAATCCCGCCACAAGATTTGCGTCGTATAAGCTGTGTACGGTTTACAGTCTCAAGCACTCAAGTGTGCTGCTGGCTTCCATCGGCGACGGCGCGAATCACAGCAGAGTCTTGACCCCACGTACTCCGTGGACGCTACTCGCGTCCGGTCCGGCACGACAAGCCTAGCATTTCATACTGCGTCTGCGGTGTACAGGCTGCCGTCGTCCGGTCGCTTGCCCGGCTGACTAATTGCCACGGATTTAATTTAGTCAAAGGTGGGCGGGGCCGGGCGTCGAGCTGCTTCCACCGGTCCCCGCCGCACCCATGACGTAAGCGCACCAAAACGGCGGCCGAACTTCTCCGTGCGCGCTCCGTGGAACTTCCGCCGACGGGTCTTATTAATCGGCTGCCCGTCCCGCAGCTTGCTTTGAAATCCAACCGCGGCAGCTGTCCTCACAGCTGCCCGCCGTGCACTGCAGATAAAATAAGACCAACATCCCATCCCGCCCATCATCCCATCCAACCCAAGCCGCTCCCCTCCCAGCCGCACCGTCGTCAGTTGATCCGTGTCAGTTGATCCGTCATCTCTCTTCGCGCCCATGGCCGTCCCGTCCTCCTCCCCTCCCGACCGCGTCCCCCGCGGAACCGTCACCGCGGACCTCAACTTCTACGCACCGCCCGCCGACAAGACAGCCCGGCCGTTCAACTACGTCGAGCAGCCGCCGGCGGGGATCCCGCAGCGCAACTACAGCGACGAGACGCACGCGACGCCCATCCACGACATCCGCGGCCACGAATCCGCCTTCAGCCTCGACCAGGACGCCTTCCAGGTCATCACGGGCGTCGCGCCGTCCGCAGAGTCGTCCTTTGCCGACGACGCGTCCATCAGGGCCAAGTACTACCCCGAAGTAGAGCAGCTGCTGCTCAGGCACGTCCCCGGCTCCCGCAAGGTGCACCTGTTCGACCACACGATCCGCCGCGCCGCCGACCCAGGCGCGCCCCGGACCCCCGTGACAAGGGTGCACATCGACCAGACGGCCGCGTCCGTGGAGAAGCGCGTTCGGCGGTACTTTGCCGACGACGAGGCCGAGGCGCTGCTGCGCGGGCGCTACCGCCTCGTCAACGTGTGGCGGCCGCTCAACCGCGGGCCCGTCGAGTCCTTCCCGCTCTCGTTTGCGAGCACCTCGACGCTCGACGACGCCGACGTCGTGCCCATCGAGCACCGCTACCCGGACGGCTACACGGGCGAGACGGCCGCCGTCAAGCACAACCCCCGCCAGAAGTGGTACTACCTCAGCGGCATGACGGGCAGCGAGCGCCTGCTGCTCGAGTGTTTTGACAGCGCGTCGCTGGCCCCGGGGAGCCGCGTCGGCGGCCGCGTGCCGCACACGGCCTTTGTCGATCCGCGCACGAGGCCGGACGCGGAGCCGAGGGAGAGCATCGAGGTGAGGGCTCTGGTGTTTGGGCCGTGACCCTTCTCTTGGGGGGGGGGCTTTGATTCCTTCCTACGCTGTAGTTGCAAATCGTTAGCATTTTTGTAGTCATGTCTTGCCGCACCGCATCCGAGAGGGGAAAAAAAATCAATCAATGGTCAATTCAGACGCCCAAGATGTCATATCTATACTGCCGAGTACATGATGCGCGCAGCCCCAACCAGAAATCGTGAAGCGAGTCCGACATCCTGCTAAACTGTGACATGACAAAACACATGCACGCACACCGATGCAAAAGTAGACCTTCATTGTCCAAAGGATATATCAATGTCACCCCCCACCCCTCCCAGCGCAAGGCAACAAGTGCAAGCCAAGCCGCGTCATGGGGAAAACAAGCAGCACGGCATGTGTGGTTCCAATCGGACCTCTTGATAGCCCAAGACGAGGGAAAACAAAACAATACTGGCGGGACAGAGACGCCGTCGCCGCATGGCCAAAAGGAAATGACCGAATCCTGCATGCTGATCCAAACCCAAGAAAAAGAAGAGGGAAAAAAAAATTAAAAAAACGCACTTAGCCGCGGCGACCTTTCCCCCGGCCACTGCCCGTTGTTCCCTGTCGGCTCATGGCCACGCCGCCCAGGCTGCTCTGCCTGCTCATCGGCACGGCAGACGCAGAGTATCCGGCTACAGATTGGCTGGAGCCGCCGTGGCCGCCGGGGCTGGGTTGGTCTCGCAGGCTGCTGGTGGTGATGCCGAGCGAGTCGCGAAAGTTTTCGGGGTCTTCGCGCGCGGCGCTGGTCATGGCCACGAAGCGGCCCTGCTGGTACGGGATGGAGACGGCTTCGAGGATTCTGCGCAGGCCAGTCGGGGCGTCCAGGTGGGCGCCGGGCTTGTGGGTGTGGTCGTACTGCTTGAGGAAGCCCATGACGGACAGGTCCGACATGATGTCGTCCTGTGAGAGCGGGACCGGAAAGTTCTGGTCCGCCGTCCTCGGGTACGGCTTGAGATACTGCTGGGGCACGTGAGGCGGCATCTTGGGGGGCTCCTGGGCGTGCATCAGATCCAGGTTGGCCGGCACCTCGAAGTTGGCAATGCCTTCGACGCCCAGAATCTTGTCGTCCAGAAAGTTGGTGCCGGCGCCGCCCCTGGTGCTGCGGGTGGCGTGAGAGACCTGGCGCTCCATCATGGGCGCCGACGGAACAGAGTCGGCGTCGTTGTCGTCCCCGTTGCCGGAGTCGCTGTCGTCGGGGGACGAGGCGTTGCCGTTGACCCGGTTGCGCAGGATGTACTGGTGAGCAGCCAGGGCCGCGCTGTTGTAGTGCAGGGACAATTCTTTATCAGTGAAGAGCTTGTCGATGCTGTAGATGGGACCGTTTTGCTTGGCAACGGCACGTGCCTTCTCCGACTGCCACAGGGGAGTCGTGCTGTTGGGATCCAGGGCACGGCGCATCGGGGCGGGCGATCCGTCCTCCTCTCCCGGATTCCGCTTTCGCTTCTTGTCGGCGAACATTTGGAGGTCGTCGGCGTCCTTGCGGAGCCTGGTTGCGCGCTTGCCGTGCGTTCCGCCGGGGCTGCCAGGGTTTGTGAGGGAAAAGTGATTGGGGTTGAGGAGCAAGGCGTTGGAGTCGTTAATCTCCAGCACTTCCTTTTCCCTATTCAGTCGGTTCTTCTTTTGTGTCAGCGTGTTGATGAGTCGGTCGCGCAGGGTGCTGGTCAGAGCCATGTGCTCGCGGCGGGCCGTCTCGACCTTGTAGGCGTGGGTATTCTTGTACTCTTGTACTTTTCGCTCATATTCGTTCTGGAAGAGAGGAAATAAAAGGAGGCGACGGACCGCAAATGTCAGCCGCATTCAGCATTCACAAAGCGAGGGGCCCTCCAAGCGGCGAGCGAGGTCTGGTCTTGCCTGGTCCCGCTTACCTTTGACTGTGTCAATTGAAAATCACGAATCTCAATCAGGTCCTCAATTTCGTCCATAAACTTGGGAAACTTGATGCCGGCCATGTCCATGAGGCTGCGAGCAGACTCGGCATGGACCGGGGGGCCCTGAGTCTGCCTATGCTCTCTTCGAAGCTCGGCGGCAACCTCGAGAGCGTTTGTGTCGTACGGGTCGAATCGCTGCACGAGGCCGATCTCGTACTGGATCTTTTGCAGCTGATCGCGGTACGTCATGTCCTGTTCGCGCTGGAACGTATCCGTCATGCTGGAAAGACGCTCCATGAGAGCCTGTCTCTTTCTGTCTCGCTTCGATTGTGACGCCGCGGGAGGAGAGCGTCGCTCGGCTTTGCCGCTCAGGGCCGAGGGCACTGCATTGTCACTTGCGGCCATCGTCGGAGCTTGGCGAGGCGGCCGCTGGTGGGAGGAGGAACCGGCCGGTCAAGTTCAATCAGTTGCCAGCGACGTCGTCGGACGGGAGATGGGACCGGCGAGAGAAGAATATGCAGAGCGGTGCGATTGCCGTGTTCAAAGGCAGTCTGCCGTCCTAGTCGGCGCTCAGAGTCCAGCTTGTTCTCCTTGTTGGCGAGGCCAAGGTCGGGTCCACAGCGAGCGGCGGATCGAGCAGGCAAACCAACGACAGTGCTGCACAATGCGCCTGCAAAGACTGAAGGAGAGAAGCATGTAAGTAAGGACAGCAAGCTGGATTGAAGCACCACCTGCCAGTGAGGACGGAGCAAGAACCACGACGACGACAAAGGTCAAGCAAGTCTGCCAAGGTGCTGCGGACCTCGAGGCGGCTGGCATGGCTTGGTGTTAGTCCCCGATCCACTCACCGCCTGCCCGTTGCGTCTATGGTTCTCGCGCGGGGGGGCTGTCATTGGCCGGCCTCGGTCGAAACGACTCCAAAGGGGCATGGGAGTTGCCGTCGCACAGTGTAGACAGCTTTAAGCAACGCCTGCCTGCACTGTATGCTGACTCCCACGTTACTGACCTCCGTCATGGCCTCACATTATGCATACCCATTCGGTCACACAGAGTCGTCATCTACAGTCCACTTCTCAATTTCTGCAGCTGACTGATGAGTCCGAACCCCCCCGGCACTCTGGTCTCCTCGCCAGCGATCTCCTTGTCGCCGGGCCTCCGCCCCTGCGAAGAGCTCGCGGCGCGGCCGTCCCTCCTCGCCGCCTGGTCCATCTCCCTCACCAAGTCTCTGTGCCCATCCTCCACCATCTTGGCCAGACTCTCGATAAACTTGTTGCGGCCCTTTTCCTCCGCCGTGCCCTTCCACACGACAGCCAGCTCCTTTAGCTCTTCGACCCTGGCGGCGGCCTCTTCAATGCCCCGGACGGGGTCGTCGCTCTTTTGCAGGAGGCCCGCAATCTCGTCGCGCAGCTTCTGAAGCACTTGCTGGCCCTTGTCCTCGGAGCTCTGCTGCTCGGAGCCGGGTTCCGGCGCGGACACGGACAGGAACCCCGAGCTGACGGATACCTCCGAGGGCGGGAATGTAAAATCCATGGCGTCTCCAAAGGTCTTGATGACGGCTTCCAGGCGCGAGCGGACTATGGTCAGTGTCTGCAGCTGTTTGATGAATTCCGGGTCGTTTGGGCTGGGTGCAGCACCAGGAGATGCCTCGACGCCGTCCTCGGCATCCCTGCTCTTGCCCTCGACTGGATCCCTCTTGGCGGCCTCCTTACTGGTTTCGTGATTCGGCTGCAGTCCCCCGGGGACGAAAACCTCAATGTCCTCCTTGAGTGTCTCATGCAGCGTCTCCGACAAGCCCAGCGTCTCACCCCTCAACAACTCCACCTCGTACGCCAGGCGGCTGCCGCTCCTCAAAATATCATCAGTCAGCTGCGTCAGCGTGTTGGACAGCCGTGTAGTTTGCGCATTCAGCTGCGACAACAGCGTCTGTGCCTGGGCGGATAGCTCCGCCAGCGGCACGGCGGCACTGCCCGGCTGGGAAGACGGGTGCCTGCTGCTGGCGAGGGGCGGCAAGGCAGCATTCAGGTAGGCGGCGGGGTCGAACGAGGGGTCCAGAAAGTCGTGGAGGAAGGCGTCCGAGGTGTGCGCCGACTTGGGCTGTATCGCCGCCTTGGGCTGCTCCCGCGCGTGCTGGCCGTTCCTGATGGGCAGCGCGGCCGCGTTGCTGCTCGTCCGCCTGCGGGCGTGTTGTCTCTGTTCCGACATTGCGGCCGTGACTTGGCCACCGGCTGGCTGCTGATGCCGGGACGTTGGTGATGGGCATTGAAACGTGACCAGCGTGGTGGTTTGCAACGTAGTTACCCCCGTACTGCAAGCTGCAGCATTGAGAAAGTCCAAAAAGTGGACCCGCCGATGATGAGCCGGCCGCCCACAGAGACTCGATCACCAAGAGGGCTTGGCATCATCCCGAGTCGTCACTTCGCCCTTCGCCCTTCGCCCTTCGCCCTGCCGCAGGTTATCCAAAGACTTGGCAGGGAGGACTGGAGCAATGAGCGTAGCCGAGGAAATGCGCGTCGATCCCACGCGAGCCCAGGCTCTCGTCGCGCAGCTGACGTCTGTCAAGGAGCGCATCAGTGCGCTCGCAAACGGCCGTCATGTAAGTGTGCGCGGCGCATCCATCACACGATGCCGGATGGCTGACTTCCACAACCACGACCACAACCACAGGTCAGACTCGTCGCCGTATCCAAGCTCAAACCTGCCAACGACATCCTCGCCCTCCACCAAGCACCCAACCCCCACTGCCACTTTGGCGAAAACTACACGCAGGAACTCGCCCAAAAGGCACAGCTGCTCCCCAAGACCATACAATGGCACTTCATCGGGGGTTTGCAATCCGGTAATCATCCCCAGCCTTGTCCTCACCAAAGGTACCCGTGAGCACTGACATGAAACACCCCCGCACGCAGGCCACTGTAAAGCACTCGCCAAAATCCCCAACCTGTTCTGCGTCTCGTCCGTAGACACCCTCAAGAAGGCCAACCTCCTCGACACCACGCGCGGCGCCGTGCTCGCCTCGGACCCCTCGCTGCCCAAACTCTCTGTCCACGTGCAGGTCAACACGTCCGGCGAGGAAGCCAAGTCCGGCTGTGCCCCGGGCCAGGAAACCGTTGCGCTGTGCCGCGAAATCATCACCAACTGCCGGCATCTGCACCTCCTGGGGCTCATGACAATCGGTGCTATAGCGCGCAGCAAGGCCACGACCGCGGAGAATGAAAACGAGGACTTTGTCGCGCTGAGGGAGCAGAGAGATTTGGTCGCCGAGGAGTTGGCGCTCGAGCACGGCAGGCTACAGCTGAGCATGGGCATGAGCGAGGACTTTGAGGGCGCCATTGTGTTGGGGACCGACGAGGTGAGGATTGGCAGCACCATCTTCGGCACCAGGCCTGCAAAGGCCGATGCAAAGATTAGGGAGTAGCCGTAGTGGCAGTGCCCGATGTGACCATGGTTCTGGCTGCAATATCGACGTCGAGGAAAAACAAGACAAAATAGACAAAGAATCTCATTGGAAATCCTGGTATCGGTGCCATGACATGAAAGTAGAATACACTCTGCGTCCCAATTTTTGCCTTTGCAGACTCCCCATGCAGAGCAACCATCGACTGCATAATGCACGTTTCAAAGCCAAAAAAAAGAAAGAAAAAAGGAAAGTGAAGAGGCGGTCGGGAAGGAGAACAAAAAAAAGAAAAATTCCTCCACAACGCCAAGATGATCCCGTCCCGAAAACCTGCCCCGTCCTTGCTGCAGCCACAAAACACGCACCTTGATCAGAATATAGGAGCGTCTCGCAGCCAGTCTAGACCATTGTGTTCCCAAACGCTTCCGAAATTTCCTGACGGCTCGGCGGTTGGTACTCGGCGACGGTCGAGACCCCCTGAGCGAGTCTCTCCTGCATGAGTTTCAACATGATTGCCGGCACTGAGTCGTCCGTGGCGCGGATTGTGAGTCGGAGCATCTGCAACGTTTTTGTCAGTCAAACTCAATCCACTGCGCGAGCCTCGCCCGGCGAGCGTCCTCTTACCTGGCTGGAATAGTTGGGCTCCAGACGCAAGAGACAGCCGAATTTTCCTCCCTCCGAGGTGTGCAACACACTGGCGCCCACCACGTTCTTCGGGTTGGGATCAACCATGTCCAGCACCCGCCATCGGAAGCCCTCGACGGTGCTGGTGACAAACTTTTCCGTGATTTCTCTCTTGTTGCCCTTGCCACCTGTGAGTCCAAAGATTGCCTGTGCCTCGCGAGATCCGGCCCCGATCTGCTTCCAGCGCTTGAAGAAGTCTTCGGCGGAGAGATCCGTGGGATCCATGAACTTGTGTGCGGCGACGGGCAGCTTCAACGTCACCGCCTGCAACGCGCCGGCCAGGTAGCTGATTCGCACCGTCGGGCTCTTCTCGAAAATCTTCTTCGACTCAAACATGATGACCTGTTGCGTTTGCCCTCCGGCGCCAATCGTGCTGTCGGGGAGACCCTTGACGTCCCAGGCCAGGTTGCTCTTCTCGCTCTCGTCCAGATCCAGAGTGGTTGTGAAGGAAGTCATGGGCGACGGCGACTTGTTGGAGAAGTAGGCGATGAGGCAAGCCATCTGTGCGCGGTATTCGGACCGCACGCCGATTTGAAGCTGACCATCCTCGTACAGGATGCCATCCGACCGCAGCATGAGCTCTTCGAAGCCCTTCTCCCAGCCCGGAGACAGGTGAGCCGCGCTCGCGAGGTTGGGGGCCTTGAGCATCTTGGGCTCGGACGGCGAAGCGGCGTTCATGTCCAGGCCGGCGAGGTCGTTGGCACCGTTGGCGCCCCCATTGGCCTTCCCGCCGTTGAGCGCCGCGGCGGAGCTAAAGGTCCTCTTAAGGGCTCCCGGCTTCGCCATGCCGAGCTCAGTGCCATCAGAATTGGCGTCCTTGCCTCCAACCACCCACGTACGGCGATCACTGGTGTTTGCATGCTTCTGGTGGAGTCGGGAAAGGAGAGCAGACTCCCGCTCGGGGAAGGGCGGCATCTCGTCACAGACGGTCCTCAGAAGGTCGTCGGTGGGCATATTCGCCAGCGTGAGGTACTCGCACGCTCTTTGCTGCATCTCCGAATCCAACGTGTGGCTGTAAAACTCGAATGTGTGAAGGAGATGTGGTTTGATCTCGGGGAACAAGTTGACAAACTTGATGAAGCACGACAGAATCATGGCCCGGGTGCTGGGCGAGCAGCCAGACAGCTTCCCCTGGAGAGCCATGAACTGCTCAATGGGGCTGCAGCGAGACTGATCGGCAATCAAGTGGCCGAATTCGCCCAGGATATACGCCCCAATCTTGACCAGCGTCTCGTGGCAATGGTCGGACTTGACGTACTGCAGAGCAGTCTGTGCCGCGTAGACCTGAAGCTCTTCGTTGTTGGTGACAATCTGAATTACCCGCTGCCAGACTTCGTCACTGACATGATCACCAGCCATGGCAATCAGGCGCAGCGAGATGTCGACGTACCACTGGACGTCGGTGGCATATTTTTCGGTGAGAATGGCAATCTTAAGCACCATTTCCTCGCGAATGGCAAAGTCTGCGCTCTGCAGAAAGTGCAGCAGCTCGCCGACAATGATGCGGGCGTTGGTGGCGTCGCACATGCTGTACAGCAGGTCCAGTCCTTTTCTGCGGACGCTAATGTCTCTGTCCTTGAGGGACCCGAGGATTATTTCTTGGTGCTGCTTGATGGGTATGAGGGTTTCTGTCCGGGCAGCCAGATGCGTCATTGCCTCCAGCCCAAGATATCGCACGTTTGTCTCCCTGCTCTGGATGAATCGGCCCAGGCGAGACGAAATCTGCTTCATGAGCGCGTGCTCGGTATCGAGATGGATGATGAGATTGATGGCTTCGAACAAGACTGCGTTCTGGACGTTGTTCTGCTGCACATTTTTGTTGGCTTCCATGGCCAGGTTCAGGATTCGCTGTAAAGACTCTCGGATCATGTCTCGGACGTGGGTGTCCTCTGCTTTGGCGGACATGGCAATCAGCACGACGGAGACCATGCACGCTAGACATAGGAGCCGAACATACCAGAGGGTGGAAAGTACTGAAGGAGCCTCAGCAGCTTGATCTGCAGCCAGGGACAAGGAACCTTGTAGTAGAGGTAGTCTGTGGTGTATTCGCCATCGATAACGACGCGCTTGAGTCGCGCAGCTGCCTTTGCGTAAGCCGCCTTGTATCCGTCGAGGTTGTCTTGAGCGAGAGCCATGACGAGTGACGTGACAGACAAGGCAACCCCCAGATCGGTGTCATCCATGAGGTGAACAATGCGCTCGGCCCACTGGGGGGAGACGATGTCGGGATGCTTGCGGTAGAGCCGCAGCAAAGTCAGGGCAGCCTTCTTCTTGACAAACGATTTTGAAGTCCTGTGTTCTCGTCAGTTGGGTGAAAACGTTGGGTTGGGGTGGGTGGGCAGACAGACGGTGAAATGAGGAGGCGATGAACCTCGGAACTGAGCGCCTCGCCCATCTCCCGGCCTCCGACGTTGGCGATTGCGTGCAAAGCCAAGCAGTTGAAAAGCTCGTTATTTTCCAGCAAATCCTTGCGAATGCTGTTGACCACAAGATGCAGCAGCTCGTGCTTCTCGTGCAGGAAGAGCGTCATGGCGAGGTAGCCAATCTGCTTCTCGGAGTATTTTTGTGCCGAGATGAGATTGACTGCCTCGAGGTGTCCAAAGTCGACATCCCAGCCCAAGATGTAAATGTAGAGCAGCTTGCAGACGTATTTCTTCTTGTGGTAGCCGCTGAGGTTGCCGTCCTTGAACTTTTGTCGAATGTTGGCCAGTTCCTTGTTGATTCGCTTCTCTTCCAGCTCACGAGCCCGGGCGTTTCTCAAATCGGCGATGAACTGGACCAAGCCTCGCATGTTGGCATTGCTGCTGCTTGAGCGGCCGAGAAAGCCGCTCCCTGGAGCCGACATGGTTGAAGTCGTCGGTCAGAGCCCCTGGCCAACGTCTCGTCTCGCTGGAGCGTCCCGGCGGGCGGGACGAGATGGCTGAGAAGGGGGGGGGATTCAGTTGTCAATCGGGCGCAGGCACAATGGCGTCGTCATGGCACACATGCCCTGGGCGAATTGCAACGGATGCTCGGGCCGTCGCTCGTCGTTGTCGGGCGTCCAAGTGTCAATTCAATGTTGGTGGTGATGGTGGTGGTGGTGGTGGTGGTCGAGTGGGATGCGCAGCAAACAAGGGGGGCAAGCTCCCAATGTTCTCGTTCCAACCGCCGCACCGAGCACTCCACAGCTGCCAACTTCGAAGGCGGCCAACGGGTGATTGACCCCGGGATATATCTCCGTCACAGACCTCAGACCTGCCACGGGTTGACGACAGACGGAAAGGTGGCGATTTGCTGAGCTCGACAGCTCCGGCGACGACCTTGAAGGAGGGGGAGTCGGCCAATACTGGGCACCTGGTCGAACTTGACCAGTTGAACGCAGTCGGGTCCGGGAGCCGCTCTTCAGCAGACGAGGGTACAGGCACAGGCACACAAGGACACCCACCAGTTGACGTGCACTGCGTAGGTACGTACCAGACGGAGGCCCTTGGGCTGCCCATTGGTGCCTGCGGCTGCCGCCGCCGAGGCCACTCGCGTCTCCATTAATGTCTGGCGCAACGGCATCTCCATCAATCATTCACGTCAATTGATGCTTTGATTCCATCAACTCTGACCACATGTAAATCCGCCCATTTCAAGATGGACTGAATGCCATCGCCGCCCGCCGTCTGTCGCCGCATCTACTCTCTGCGTCCCCTCCCAGTGTAATGTCAGCATGCATGCGACCGAGCCCGCCGGGCAACGTCCTGCATAGCCTGTCGTCCCTGTCCCGCGTTTCTGTCCAGGCCTCGAGCAGACGAAGATACGCCCTTCACTCCGCCGGCGCGCCGCGATTTCAAGTCTTTAACCGACGGACGAAATGGCTCCAAAAGGAACGGGCTGCCTCGAGGCCCCGAGAAAGCCGCCAGGCAGACTACCTCAAGGACGAGGTTGCCGTCCGCGTCTCCGAGCGACTCCTTGTACGATTCGCCGGCACTCACCCTTCCCTTGAAGCGCTCAAATTCCACGCAACTATCTTGCTGACTGCCCGCTCGAACAAACAAGGACATCAACCGGCATTTTCCCAGGGTCCTAGACCTAGGCGCCAACTCGTGCAACCTAGCCCGAGCCCTCGTCCGCGAGAACCCCGACCCGGACCCGTCGATGCCCTCATCGCCGCCTCTGTCGGCGCGCATATCCGAACTAGTCGCCGCCGACTCCTCCGAAACGCTCCTGTACCGCGACTCGGAGCACGAGTTCAACGGGAAGCTCAAGATAACGCGCCAGGTGCTCCGGGACGAGGAGAGCATCCCCTTTGGCCCGGGCTCGTTCGACCTGGTCCTGAGCTCGCTGAGCTTGCACTGGATCAACGACCTCCCCGGCGTCTTGTCCCAGATCAACCACGTCCTCAAGCCAGACGCCCCCTTCATCGGCGCCATGCTCGGCGGAGACACGCTGTTTGAGCTCCGGACGTCGCTGCAGCTCGCCGATCTAGAACGAAGGGGCGGGCTCTCTCCCCGCGTGTCGCCGCTCGCAGACGTGCGCGACGTGGGCGGCTTGCTGCAAAAGGCCGGCTTCAAAATGCTGACCGTCGACGTGGATGACATCGTCGTCGACTACCCCGACACCTTTGCGCTGATGCGAGATCTCCAGGCCATGGGGGAGAACAACGCCATATTGGGCAGGGAGATGGGCCCCATCCGGAGAGACGTCCTCCTCGCCAACGAAGCTATCTACAGGGAGCTGCACGGGAACCCTGACGGCTCCATCCCGGCGACTTTCAGGGTCATATACATGATCGGTTGGAAGGAGGGCGAGCATCAGCCGCAGCCGTTGGCTCGCGGCAGTGGCCAGGTGAACCTGAAGGATGTCCTGGAGAAGAGGTAGCGAAAAGAGCACACAGTCATGTACCGTATTACATTGCGCCCCGGGCCATGTTACTCGTGCAGCCGCAGTCAAGACGGAAATTTAAAAGATAAAATTGCACTTTGCACGTGTGCAAGGATAATTTCTCTCTGCATATCATCCCGTGTGTACTATTGTTGGTGTACTACTGTTATGGAACTCGAGTATGCCGTTGTTGTTGTTTTTTTTATTGTTTTTTTTTTCCTCCATGTCCTTCCAGCACTCTACGGATCCGACCAAACAAACACCTCACACTCTCCTCCAATCCGTCATGGTCCGGCCAATGCATCCCAGCCCCGCGACGTCAACCAGCTTCTCATGCCAGCTGAGCAGGACGCTCATGGCCGCGGCCGCCGGCTCGTTGGAGGCGCCGGGGCGAGCGCCGAACCCGCCGGTAGACTGCGGCGTGACTCTGGACGCTGGCTTGGGCTGGCCCGCCGCCATTCCCTTGTAACTACCGGCCTGCGAGTCAGCGATGCCTGTGTGCCGCTGCCGCTGCCGCTGCCGCTGCCGCTGCGACGGGAGACCGCACCGGGCTTCTGCTTACATGTACTTCATGAGAACGTCGAGACTCTCGCTGCCGCCCGGTGATTCGTAGACGCTCTTGAGCAGAGGGCTCATGTCGCTCGCCTTGATGGACTGCAAGACCTCGATGATGGTCTGGAGATGCGCGTCCTTTTTTTTTTCCCTCGCCCCAGCCCGCCGTTAGCATTGCGTGTCGGTGTCGGCGGTGTCGTGTTTTGTTGTCTGCCCTCGGATCGGACCCGGCGCCCGAGAGAGGCAGCAGACGAGGTTCTTGTCCCAACGCACCTTTGCGGCCTCGCTGCCGTTGTACACGGGCGTCTCTAGGCATCCCCTCAGGGCGCCCTCGGCGTCGCCTCCCCTCAGCAACTGCCGGACTTGTCCGGATAGCTGGCGCACCTCGGCCTCGCTGATCTCGGGCTGCGGCGGGTGCAGCGTCGAGGTGTCAAAGTTGACGCTGGAATCTTCGTTGTACGCGTCGATCTTGATGATTCGCCATGCGTCGCTGAGCGTGGCGCTCGTGTGCTGCTGGATGATGGACATGGTTGGATGGGCGTGCCGAGAGCCTGGCTTTGACGATGATGCCCGGTTGGAGCTGAGCTTCAAACGTTCAAACGTTCAAATGTTGAATCTCGTGATGGAAGCTGCGTCACGAAATGGCGGGGCGAGATGGGCCGCGGCGTGGGGTGACGAGCTGGTGCGATTGGAGTCGGTTAGTGCTATACTTTCTTTTGGCGCGCCGGACTCGGGCATTCCAAAGTACTATGCTAGCGGAACGGCATTATCTTGTATTGTCCAAGTACTTCGATTGTCCGCATGGTGAAATTGCTGCGTCTCCTTCACCCAATGTCCGGTACCCGCCCCAATATATCAGGGCATGGAAAGTAAAAACCCTTTATCTAAATGGGATCACCAGTAACTTCCGCCGTCTTACACCATTGGTTTCCGGTGACATCGCATGTCTGAGGCAGACTGGTGACCAGCATGGCATGCCCAGCTACCCTGTACTGAAAGTCGCTCCGGCACGCTCCCAAACGTGCAAATTTTTTGTGTACGGAGTAAAGGTGCTGTGTACTACACGGCAACGAAGGCGTCCTGTTAAACATGGCGATCCGTTCCGAGCTTTGTTCTTCAATGCACGCGCTCGGGGCGGAAAACTGCAGCCCTGGCGCTGTGACAGCTCAGGTGTTCAAGTCGCAGCTATTGCCTCTTGCTTGCTCCGGCTCACAGTCGCGACTTTCGCCAAATGCAGACGCACGTCGAGATCGACCCCCTTGAACAACAGCCTTCAGCTGAGCCGACTTCGTAGCAAGGGAAGAGCGTGACGCCTGGTAAGATTTTGCTGCCCAATACTACTCCGGGCTGAGGATATTACCTCCTGCTCTTCAGATAACCAATACCTCGTTCTCAGGAGTCACGACGGCAGAGGCGTGGTTGCAACTTGGTTGATGGGGAATAGTAACACCGACGTCTGAGATCGTCACTGGGGACGCCAGTCCACTTGTATCGGCCGACTCCTTTTCGTTCTTCCAGAAGACAGAAGACCGCTTGGCCAATTCGTGCCCCTGGGCCCGAGGTCCACCACGGTGGACGTGCAAAAGGCCCTTTGCGAGTAATTGTCGATTGGAAAAATTGAAAAAAAAAAAAGGAAAAAATGGATTTTTTTTAAAATGAACGTCAATGGGCAGAACGAAGCGGAAGTCTTCCGTGGCACCCTGCCAGATTGCCTGCCAGGCGCCAGCTCAAACAAACAACACAGATCCTTGCTAGTAGGGGTGAGGCTAAGACGTCGGCCGTCTGGCAGCCCCAGACATCGCGGAATGACGATTGACGATGGTCCCTACTCCGTGTTATGTGGCAAATTTTTGGTCTTGGCCGGTTTCGTCCAGCCAAGTCCGTCTGTGGCCTGGTCGAGGCCGAGCGTCGTTGCGTGTCATGGCCTTGGCCTTGGCCTTGACACGACGACCATCAAGGCGTGTCATGCGCATGGACGCGCATCTTGACTCCTGTTGATTTCAAACGCGGCCACTGACCAGCCATGCATCGGCCGGGCCTTGGAACAGACGGGAAACGTTGTGCCTCGTATGGTTCTAGAAGACAGCGCAGAATAATGGCCGGGCACTGTCTTTATGCGCCTCGCCTGCAACGGCACCTTGTCCACCGATCAGCTAGCCCTGCATTTCCGTACTGAATGCTTGGAGGGTGCTCCAGTAATAATATGCAACGCGCCTTGCCATGGTTGTAGCACCAGCACCAGAGCGAAGGGTTGGGGCCGTAACATGTGGGCCAGCCTAAAATCGACGGTATGGAACGGAGAAGAGCATGCTGGCAGCTATTGAAGCTCTGATATTATAATACCCATTTACCCCTAACCTTTTTTCATCGCTGGAGCATTGGTTTGTGGCGCCAGACCCGGGGGGGACCGCGATCTCGAGGCGCCTGTCAAAACAGGGGTCAGCTCCAGTTCATCAGGCGCGAGTTACAGAGCAGTACTGATCCGTGCGACGCAAACCAGTGATACCGAGACAGAATGCTGTAAACGAGGAACGAGTCAACTGAGACGGCCACCGGGGGCTGCTTCCGCCGTTGAGGCGACTGGGCATAGTGGTACTACGTACATACTTGTGTGTTCCGCAACCCTCGTCCTGAGAAGAAGCAAGGATCTGAGTCCTGCTTGCGATCCTAGCTTGCCGTAATATCGGCTGGGGCTTGCAAACGGTCTATGCGGTTGCGTTGAAGAATATGCGGCTGGCAACAGGCTATCATGATTCATCTACCTCTCCAGCTGCAGGCAAACCCTTTGCATTGCTGCAGCCTGAGGGACCAACTTGGCCATCCCGGTAAAACAAGCGATATGAGTCGGGCCCTACCAGACTGAGACTGAACTCGCCGGCAGACGAGCTTGCTGCAAGTTGTGACTGGCCGAGCGGATGCCACCGTTGGCCGCCCGAGACGTTCTGTTCAATATGACACCCCCAACCAGTCGGCAGGCGTCACTAGTAATCAACATGACGTGAGCTTTTAAAGGCAGAATGACTGATGAGGACTAGCCGGATACCAAATTGCCATTGTTTCACGATGGCTATTGCCTGGGACTAGCTCGCCGAAAACAAGCTAATGCAGGAACCGCGCGGAAAAAACATCCAATTTACCCTTTGAGTACCGACCGACGTACGTTCGTAGCTGGGCAAGGATAAGACGGCGCTGCAACGGCGTGCCATTGACACGTGTGTTTTTTTAGCATGCGTATTGCAGGATGGCTGGGGTGCATACAACAAATGATGACGACTCCGAATGGTAACATCTGGAGCCCTCCGTACGAGGTGCCGGATATCGTGTGCCAAGCATGAATGAAGAAGAGGATTTCATGAAATTGTCTCCGGAGCACTCCGCAATTGTCGGTACATTCCACTAGAACTGCCACGCTGAAGATTTCATTTATCTTGGCAGACAGAGCGTGGGCTTTGCTTGTCGATAGTATTGTCGTCAACTGCACAGCAGGGCAGGGATCGTGAACGAGCCCAGCACGCGTTACTTTTCCATGCAAGACGCATCGTCAAAGTGCGGGTGGGCAGCACGGGAGCCGCACACGCATGGTGGTTGTGGTTGCTCGCCCCTCTCATTCTGGAAGGCTTCCCAATTCGACCAGCACTAGGATCCTTCCAATGCCGATGCTAATTGACGCCACATTGCACCGCCAATTTAACCATGCAGCGATGCATAGCTGGCGTCGCAAGACGTAAGGTGTAACTTGGAGGACGGAACTACCAAGTCGCGACAGGCGAGCCTGCCTGTGGCAGAAGCTCCGAGATCCGTGATATTCCTGAAGTGTTGTCTGGGATTAGCCCGCTTGCTTTGCTGTCCTTGTTTGATCATCGTCTGATCCCAAGCGCCTGAAATAGCGTGAGTGCATGATGCCTACGGAGTACACGAGTTCTGTATACACACCACGGCCTGTCCTGCGCAAGCACCGCAGGGAGTGGCAAACATCACCAGCCTGTAAATTTTCGAGAGTTGGTATATAAATCGTGCATAAAGACCTGGGTACTCCGTAGCCAGGGAGGCATGTACCCTGTCTGACCATCACGGTCAACTTAGCGGCGGCAGTTGCTGTCAGTTGCTGTGGCACTTGCGTCAACGTCCTTGCAGGGAGTGGTGGCCCGATGGAATGGCTGGATGCCGTCTGTTGGGCAAACAAAACGTAGTGGCCAACGTGCTGTATGTTGAAGAGAAGAATGACATCGAAGTCATCTTGAAGGCTGCCTGAGGTTCAAGAATGCCCGGTCTGGTTGAATACTGTTGAACCATGCCAGGTGGCAGCACGAAGGACTCCGTAGCAGGCAACGGAACGAGGCAGGCGCGGCCAAGCGGACCTTCTCAGCTGGCGAGTCCGATGCGAGGTCGAAATACCATACGTGTCCCGATGGCGCGTTCATGTGCTGGAATTGACATGGGAAAATTGGAAATGCCACAACGCGGCGGGCCTGCAAGGGCCAAGCATGGGGGCCCTGTGCATCTTGGCCGCTTCATCCCATATCCTTATAGGGCTCAAGCTGTTCCTGGTCCCCTGATTCCTGGAACAAGCGCTCATTTCTCCGTGGCCGTGAGCAGTCGCAAAAATTCTTGCCCTGGAAGCGTCCCCCGCCCTTTGACGCCGACCAGCACACACACAAATGTGCCTTTACGCCACTTGCTTTGACGGACACGGCAAGTGATTCAGAAGAATAGCCTTTGCCAAGCCCAAACGGCGAGACCCGGACCAAGGACCCAACAGTTTGGACAGACTACGAATGGTAAGGACTCGGGATGGCTATTTGGCTCAAATACTACTTCTGCGCCAGGAAGAGAAAACAAAGAGACGCGGCACAAAAATAAACCCACGTATATACATACGAGGTGAGTGGAGGCACGTCGTTGCGGATTATTTTGATGGCAAGGCTGAAATAAAGGTCTGGAAGTAGTACAACGTTTTGTGGCGTTGCTATTTATACCGAATCTTCGGCGGGCGCCGTGCCTGAACCCGAAATCAGACGCAAGCGGTATTTATCGTCCTGTTGTCTGGCTGGCTTGACAGAGGCATAAGAAAGAACAATGGGGGCCGTCATGCAGCCAAGCAGACCTGGCACGTACGCATCACTCAAGCCAATGCAGGGATTCGGCCCGCTTATTGTTGTTGGCGCTGCATATTTGGGTCAATAATCCGAACTGTCGGGACGATTGACAGGGATGCGTGGCATGTGTCTGCTTGCTCACAATGAGGGCTGTCTTTGTGCGTTCTGGTCCAGTCGATGCCCACTTTGGCGAGCTTTGGCTTTAACAGCCCCCAATCGCGACAAGTCAGAGAAGTCGTGCTTTGCAGGCGATGCTGCTCGACACCATCAGTAAAGTCGGAACAGAGAGCACACGAGCTTGTCCTGGGATTCAACCATGACGGCACCGAGATGTAGCACCGCGCATGCATGTCACTGCCAACTGCAGCCGCCAGTCGAACTACCGAGCACCACCGGTCCTTTTAAGAGTTGGCAACGTCCAGGCGCAGTGAA